CAATCAATCAGAATAAAGGGGATAAAACAAGGACTGGTCGGCTCATGAACGTAAAAACGCAATAATGCTGAAAGCCAAGCTAAATCCCATTTCACCTCACCTCGGACAGAATAAGCACCTACACTCAGTGGGTGATAGTCTGTCTTACAGACCCTGATACAAATATATATCAAATACAGCCCAAGCAAGTCTATAATGTTTGGCAAGTCTAGATCACTGCAGTATCATGAAGAGAGTCACTGGGCTCCTTTTTATTATATTTTTATTAAGATAACTAAACAACTGTTTTTTTTATGTACGATATGTTCATTTCAGAGACTAGATTTTAGTCTAAGTGGGTGACATAACAATGTGTATCGCCATTAGAAACTTCTTTCTGTGGCTCAGCAGGACACGCTAAACTAATTATTGGTTTTCCGTCAGTTTATTAAACTTTAACTATATAAAATGGTGTCATTCAATTGAAGGGGCGGTGGGGTAGCCTGATGGTTAAAGCGGCGCTTGTCGCGCCTAAGGCCCGGGTACAATGTGTGAAGCCTGTTTCTGGTGTCCACCGCCGTGATAATACTCTCACTCAGATGTCAAATATGATCTGTGCATTTTCGGCATCAGCGGGTTCAACAAGTGTAGAAGACGAAGAGCAGCGCCGTTTACATGAGCTGCGTGAGGCTGACCGCCATTACATCGATGTTGCTGGTTTCTGGCCATGGTTGGCCCAGCCACCGACATTCGCTGTACGGAGTTGCGTCCCTTTGGCGTGACATAATCATAGGATTGCGGGTTCGAATTCCAGATTCACCCTAACATGATTTCTGGTTTGTATGCACCATACCCATAGATTTAACGTCATACGCAACAAGTAACAATTACAGTTCTAGGTCATTTCCCATGCATAAAACACGCCACCATGAGAACACAGCACGATCACCCGACATTCAGCGTACACATGCCCAATAATGATGTGATCAGCATCTTTCTCCGTGCGCTCCACGAGATCAGAGGCTGAAACAGGCTGTGTCGTATTTGTATTGAAATTTCCTTCCTTAAGACTGAAGCTCCGATTATTTACAGTGGACGTTAAATATGTACAAGAATCCTATAACGAGCTCTCCGACAACAAAGAGACTATCGTGAACCAAAATCAGATTTTCTTCAGCCCAAAATCAATACACAGCAATTTAAGATTGAGATAACGATCTCCGATAGATGTGTATTTTAATTACAGGATTTCCTTTGCCTTTTTGTAGCCAAAATTGAATAAATAGTTCACATTCACTAATAATTCTTTGATCGATTTAACAAAAGGGCGATGACGTTAGTGCTATCACGTTTAAACACACGTATCTCTACAACTGGCTGCTTTAATTCCCTTTGCTCAGTTGGTTTTACAGCATCTCATAATGTCCTGCTGGCCTGCCACACAACCCACAAACAACGTGTTGTTCATATACTAGACATACATCGCATCTGGGACATGACGCACATGTTTGTTGTCTTTCATTTTCCTTAAAAAAAGTAGTCCCACATCTCTAACAGCAGCGGGTTTCTGGGACACCTTGGAGTTGTTTAACAAACATGTCGTATTGCTAGGAAACATGAACGACGTGCGAATGTGGTCTCCTAAATACTAGCAAATATTTAATTGTCGATGCTAGGTAGGGCCAAGTTAATAATAAAAAAGATTGATGTGCCATAAACAATTGCGGTTTTTTCATACGAAACTAACACAACTTAACTTCCAGCTATATTGTATACAGGGAAGTATCTAGCAACTGTACTTAATCCAAGTGTCAGAGCGTTAACCATGGTGTGTATAAAAGCATGTTAAGGTTGGAATCTATGGCGTGTACACAAGCACGTTAAGGTTGGAATCCATGGCGTGTACACAAGCATGTGGAGGTGGGAATCTATGGCGTGTATACAAGCATGTGGAGGAGGGTATCTATGGCGTGTACACAAGAATGTGAAGGTGGGAATCCATGGCGTGTACACAAGCATGTGGAGGTAGGAATCTAATGCGTGTACACAAGCATGTGAAGATGGGACTCCATGGCGATTCCAAGGCATGTACACAAGCATGTGAAGGTGGGAATCTATGGCGTGTACACAAGCATGTGGAGGTGGGAATCTATGGTGTGTACACAAGCATGTGAAGGTGGGAATCAATGGTGTGTACACAAGCATGTGGAGGTGGGAATCTATGGCGTGTATACAAGCGTGTGGAGGTGGGAATCTATGGCGTGTACACAAGCATGTGAAGGTGGGAATCCATGGTGTGTATACAAGCATGTGGAGGTGGGAATCAATGGTGTGTACACAAGCATGTGGAGGTGGGAATCCATGGTGTGTACACAAGCATGTGAAGGAGGGAATCTATGGCGTGTACACAAGCATGTGAAGGTGGGAATCCATGGTGTGTATACAAGCATGTGGAGGTGGGAATCTATGGTGTGTACACAAGCATGTGGAGGTGGGAATCCATGGTGTGTACACAAGCATGTGAAGGAGGGAATCTATGGCGTGTACACAAGCATGTGAAGGAGGGAATCTGTGGCGTGTACACAAGCATGTGGAGGTGGGAATCTATGGCGTGTACACAAGCATGTGGAGGTGGGAATCTATGGCGTGTACACAAGCATGTGGAGGTGGGTATCTGTGGTGTGTACACAAGCATGTGGGGGTGGGAATCCATGGTGTGTTCACAAGCATGTGGAGGTGGGAATCTATGGTGTGTACACAAGCATGTGGAGGTGGGAATCTATGGTGTGTATACAAGCATGTGGAGGTGGGAATCCATGACGTGTACACAAGCATGTGGAGGTGGGAATCTATGGCGTGTATACAAGCATGTGGAGGTGGGAATCTATGGTGTGTACACAAGCATGTGGAGGAGGGAATCTATGGTGTGTACACAAGCATGTGGAGGTGGGAATCTATGGCGTGTACACAAGCATGTGAAGGAGGGAATCTATGGCGTGTACACAAGCATGTGAAGGAGGGAATCTATGGCGTGTACACAAGCATGTGAAGGAGGGAATCTATGGCGTGTATACAAGCGTGTGGAGGTGGGAATCCATGGTGTGTACACAAGCATGTGAAGGAGGGAATCTATGGCGTGTACACAAGCATGTGAAGGAGGGAATCTATGGCGTGTACACAAGCATGTGGAGGTGGGAATCCATGGTGTGTACACAAGCATGTGAAGGAGGGAATCTATGGCGTGTACACAAGCATGTGAAGGAGGGAATCTATGGCGTGTACACAAGCATGTGTAGGTGGGAATCCATGGTGTGTACACAAGCATGTGGAGGTGGGAATCCATGGTGTGTACACAAGCATGTGGAGGTGGGAATCTATGGCGTGTACACAAGCATGTGGAGGTGGGAATCTATGGCGTGTACACAAGCATGTGGAGGTGGGAATCCATGGTGTGTACACAAGCATGTGGAGGTGGGAATCTATGGCGTGTACACAAGCATGTGGAGGTGGGTATCTGTGGTGTGTACACAAGCATGTGGGGGTGGGAATCCATGGTGTGTTCACAAGCATGTGGAGGTGGGAATCTATGGTGTGTACACAAGCATGTGGAGGTGGGAATCTATGGTGTGTATACAAGCATGTGGAGGTGGGAATCCATGACGTGTACACAAGCATGTGGAGGTGGGAATCTATGGCGTGTATACAAGCATGTGGAGGTGGGAATCTATGGTGTGTACACAAGCATGTGGAGGTGGGAATCTATGGTGTGTATACAAGCATGTGGAGGTGGGAATCTATGGTGTGCACACAAGCATGTGGAGGTGGGAATCCATGGTGTGTATACAAGCATGTGGAGGTGGGAATCTATGGTGTGTACACAAGCATGTGGAGGTGGGAATCCATGGTGTGTACACAAGCATGTGAAGGAGGGAATCTATGGCGTGTACACAAGCATGTAAAGGAGGGAATCTATGGCGTGTACACAAGCATGTGAAGGTGGGAATCCATGGTGTGTACACAAGCATGTGGAGGTGGGAATCCATGGTGTGTACACAAGCATGTGGAGGTGGGAATCTATGGCGTGTACACAAGCATGTGGAGGTGGGAATCCATGGTGTGTACACAAGCATGTGGAGGTGGGAATCTATGGTGTGTACACAAGCATGTGGAGGTGGGAATCTATGGCGTGTACACAAGCATGTGGAGGTGGGAATCTATGTTGTGTACACAAGCATGTGGAGGTGGGAATCTATGGCGTGTACACAAGCATGTGAAGGTGGGAATCCATGGTGTGTACACAAGCATGTGGGGGTGGGAATCCATGGCGTGTACACAAACACGTGGAGGTGGGAATCCATGGTGTGTACACAAGCATGTGGAGGTGGGAATCTATGGCGTGTACACAAGCATGTGGAGGTGGGAATCTATGGCGTGTACACAAGCATGTGGAGGTGGGAATCTATGGCGTGTACACAAGCATGATGAGGTGGGTATCTGTGGTGTGTACACAAGCATGTGGAGGTGGGAATCCATTGTGTGTACACAAGCATGTGAAGGTGGGAATCCATGGTGTGTACACAAGCATGTGGAGGAGGGTATCTGTGGTGTGTACACAAGCATGTGTAGGTGGGAATCTATGGCGTGTACACAAGCATGTGAAGGTGGGAATCCATGGCATGTACACAAGCATGTGGAGGTGGGAATCCATGACGTGTACACAAGCATGTGAAGATGGGAATCTATGTTGTGTACACAAGCATGTGGAGGTGGGAATAGTCAAAATGGTCAAAGATATCAAACATGACAGAACATTGCAAACAAAAGCCTCAGGTTTATTCAATATCAGCAGCCCCGTGAAGATTCCGGGGTAGAATGGCCTTCAGCAACCAATGCTTGTCGTAAAAGGCAACTGTGCTTGTAGTAGGAGAAGACTAATGGGATCGGGTGGTCAGGCTTGCTGACTTGGTTGATGCATGTCATCGATCCCAATTGCAAGGATCGATGCTCATGATGTCAATCACTGGATTGTCTGGTCCAGACTTGATTATTTACAGACTGCCGTCATATAACTGGAATATTGCTAAGTGCGGCGTCAAACAAACCAATCAACCAATATCAGCAGTTAATCTGAAATGAAAATATTACATTAGTACCCAAACAGATACAGCCACTTCCATCTTCCAAGTTAAATGTGGCTGGTCCACATTTCAATACAGAATAGTTGTCCGAAGAGTCTGATTCCCACTATTTAGGAGAAACTAGAATATTTGTAACACTATTTGATGGAAACAAGGACTTGCAACATTTCACTTTAGTTGTAACGCTATTTGGGAGAAGCTTGTACTGCAACATTTCAATGCAGAATAGTTGTAACACTATTTGGGAGAAGCTTGTACTGCAACATTTCAATGCAGAATAGTTGTAACGCTATTTGGGAGAAACTAGTAATTGCAACATTCCAATACAGAATAGTTGTAACACTATTTGGGAGAAACTAGTAATTGCAACATTTCAATACAGAATAGTTGTAACGCTATTTGGGAGAAACTCGTAGTTGCAACATTTCAATACAGAATAGTTGTAACACTATTTGGGAGAAACTAGTAATTGCAACATTCCAATACAGAATAGTTTAACACTATTTGGGAGAAACTAGTAATTGCAACATTCCAATACAGAATAGTTGTAACGCTATTTGGGAGAAACTAGTAATTGCAACATTCCAATACAGAATAGTTGTAACACTATTTGGGAGAAACTAGTAATTGCAACATTTCAATACAGAATAGTTGTAACACTATTTGGGAGAAACTAGTAATTGCAACATTCCAATACAGAATAGTTGTAACGCTATTTGAGAGAAACTAGTAATTGCAACATTCCAATACAGAATAGTTGTAACGCTTTTTGGGAGAAACTAGTAATTGCAACATTTCACTTGTCTCGTATACTAGACTGCTGACTGTTTAACTCTTTAAAAAATTCATTGGAACAAGAAGAATGAACAAAAGTGGTTACATTTTAATAAACCACTTGTTAAACCATCCTTTCTCACAGAGACATGATTTGAATCACATATTGAATATTGTATTTGCACAATTCATAATATATCCACATGTTGATAAAACAAGTCTTCTTCAGAAGTGACACCTTTGGTCATAACTAGCCAGTCAACAGCACACTTCGGACTCATGGTCAATGGAAGAAACAAGATGTTGGGAAAATACATCCAGTACTTCTAGATTTCCACTAAGTCTCGGACTAATTATTGCTTTTTGTTAGCGTTTTTTTGTTGTTGTTTAACTCTGCAGTCAGCAATGTCCCAGCAATATGACTGGGGTCTGAAAATTACTGACTCTGAAAAGACAACCCAGTAATTGACATCACAAGCATTGATCCATACAATATAGGATACAATGATATGCAATAAACCAAGTAACCTAACATGAACCCCTGATCCATTAAGTCACCTCTTACGACAAGCACAAGTTGCTGGGGACCTATATTCTTACCCAGAATCTCCATGGGCATTGAAGTAACTTGTGGCCATGTTTAACCACGTTAAGGGTCCTATCTCCGCAGCCTGGGTCCTGTTCCACAAAGCAATCGTAGCGCTAAGACAATCGTAACTCCCATACTTTAGCATAGACTTACGGCAGTCTTAGGGCTAAGATTGCTTTGTGGAAGGGGCCCAGGAAAGGAGCTTCGAGTCCAAGGATACCTTGCAACTGCTGGGATCCACCTTCACATATAAGTTCCTTGTCTTCTTGCACAAAAGTCCTAATAAATCAAACAGTGAATGGAAATACGGGTTATGGAAAGCACAAACATGTGCACAGGTACGCCATATGTTAATGGCATGTGCTTCCCAATGTGACATGTATCTGTCATGTGTCTTGTTCAATCTTTACAACAACCCTGTCTGTACGTGCACCTCTCTGTTCCTCGCCTCCCTGGCCTGGACTTGATCTTCCTGGTCTCTCTCGGTCTCTGCTTCGACTTCTCTCTCTCGGCCTCCTCCTCTCTCGACGGTAGTCCCCATCCCTGGCCCTGTAGTCCCTGCCTTTGTCATCTCTATACCTCCTCTCATCACAGTTCAGTCTATCCCTATCTACTTCCCTACTCCAATCACAATTTTTATCAAATCTATCTCTATTTCCCCTATAATGATCTCTCTCCAATTTCTGCTCCTTCCATGAGCCTTCCATATCTTCTGATCTCTGTACACCTTTATAAACAACAGGAATGATAGGCTGGATGAATGGTCTATCCTTACCACCAAACCTCAGCTGTCCGGATTTTCTATTTCCCCCAATTCCACCTCCAAGTCTACGTGGAACCCATCCGGTCATGTTCCGTTCACATTCAAAATCCACAAACACCTCTCTATTATCTACGGTCATCTTGTTTCCATGGTTACATGCTGCACGGGCATCCTTTTCATTTTCAAACTCTACGAAGCCATACCCTTTGGAATACCCCGTTACAATATCTCGTACTAATCTACATTTTTTTATTTTTCCAAAATCTCGAAATGCAGTCCATAATGTATCTTCCTCAGTCTGTCTGTCCAGACCAGACACGAATATTGTCCTGTGTGGGTCCCCATCAACTGACTTGTTGGGTTTGTACTTAGCATTCATAGCCCTGACAATACCATTGTCATGTGGCTCTGTGTCAGTGCCATCGATACTCCCAGCCTTGAGTGGGTCATATCGATCAGCTATACCTCTCCAGGACATCCTATAGTCTGCAAAGAAATACAGAAATAGTAACATGTACAAATGTTTCAGCTGAAGGAGCATAGTTGCAAGTTTAAACAATTTAAATTAGATTGCTATTAAATCCAAAGTAATGGCAAATTCAACATATTTTATCCAGTCAAAGAAAAAGGCTTGAGAGTCTATACAAGCCTGGATTTGTCTTTTCAGTAGATTTCAGTGTTGATAAATGGACTTTTTTTCAGAGATTTCTTGACTGATAGAGATGTTGCAAGATTTAGAAGTCAGACTAGTGGATTAAGATGAAGACTGATAACATACCCCTGTGTAAAGGAACAGGGAAAAAAGATCCCCTAAACATAGATTCATGAAATAAACTGTGACATGATTCTGTCCCTCCAAATCGTAACCATGACCACGTACAGAGAGGTCTACTATCAGGATAACAGGTTTGGGTTATCATGGGCGTTCTGTATCTGCTTGTGAACTTAGTCACCATCCACTTACAACAAGCATAGGTGAAGAGAAGTATTGCTGAGTTTCAGAGACAGTTTTAGCACACAAATTGCTTCCATTTATTATTCATCACTATGGATATGCAACGTCACGGTCCGCTCTCCCATTCATCTTTTCTTGAAACCACACCCGCTATTGTTTATGTCAACATGACCAACCAATCGGATTAACCGGATTAACGCTTGAAAAGGTAAGAATTTATGGCTAACCCTTGCCCAAAGCAAGCTTACCCTAAGGACCGAAAAGGGGTGTTGGATCGTAAAGATGTGTAAGGTTTCCCTAAGACCGAGAACGGGCGTTTGATCGCCCGGTCAACTGCATTGTTGCCCACTTATCTAATGTCAAAATCAAAAGAAATAGAAAAGCGATAGATATCACCTTCCTGAGTGTCAATATCGATATATATATAAACATAAAATACACATAAAGATCACTGTACTGGATTGGCTAACAAGAGTGGCGTTACCAATAAAATAATCAGACTGACAGTCAGTGGCAACTTCTAAAAGAACAAAAAATATAAGATACATGAGTGGTATGGCAAGATATAACTAACACTAGAATTGGGACCACCAAAGCATCAATCCATGTCAATGCATCACGACTGAAGCCTTGTCATGTCAGCGAGCTCTCATGTAAGGTCCCTTGCAGAAAGTTGTAGGAGCTTTCCACCGGAAGTCCGGACAGAACAAATTGAGATTGTCGTGAAAGAGGATTTTTCTTTTATCTGAGCTTCTGTTATAGGCGTATGCTCTGATAGTCCTATAAGGGATATAATAAGATATCCGGCAACATATATCCGACCATAGGTTTGCAAATGGCCAACTGTATATGTCGTTATTTTCTCATTATAGGAAACGGTATCACTATCGACATTTCTGGAAGCGTGACCGAGATATTGACATCTTTGACAACGATTTCAGTGTAAACTACGTACGTGCTTTACCCTTACACATTGAAACGCTTCCACTGTTCACCCCGTTACTGTAATTTAGACATGCCCATGTTTTACTTTAAACAAATGCAAATTATGGATATGACCGGTCTGTTGCGTTTGAAGCCAATAAATATTCTAGGCTACTTTCTCTCTCGACTGACGGATGTCGTCAGATGTCTCTTCATTGTGCTTGAGCACATCGTCGATATCTATATTTCGCTTTACTCTTTCGGTTTTGTTTCTAATTTGACGTAAAGAATTAGGAAAATGCTGGTGATGATAAATAGGGCAGATTTCAAGTTACAGAGAGACGGAAATAAAAACAACTTTAGGCTCAAAGTCCACAATGACAGGGTAATGCTCTTAACAATTTGGGCAAACTGTACTTCAAATATATGTAACAAGCATTTCTAGCAGCAGTACCCAGCACATGTGCTGTCCTTTTGGTCCTTTTTATTGAGCACATGTGCTGTCGAATATTTCCTAGTACATGTGCCGTCCAATCCAATTGGTCCTTATTACCCAGTTCATGTGCCGTCCAATCCAATTGGTCCTTATTTCCCAGTACATGTGCCGCCCAATTGGTCCCTATCGTGATTAAATCTCACATTTCCCATGCCAGTGTATATATTTGTTCAGTCAAAACATTATGAGGTCCCCTGCTATGAACTCTCTATAAATCAATTCAACATCTGTTCAAAGGAGAAGAGCTTATAGCACCACACCAGACGTTTTCTTTGGAGTCATGAAATCCTCTGAATGGCCTTCTATTTGTCTAAGCTTGATCAGCTCAATCAATAGTTATAGTACATGATCAACTTGTCCCAAATGTGGATTAGTGAAATGTAACTACTGGGTTCTATCCCTGCATATCATCATGATCATGCAGAAGAACTGTGACCTTAGTCAAAGTATTTTTGCAGTTGTAGGCCATTTAGAAGAAAATATTGTTTTCTGATTTACTAATGCCAGTGAGTATTTGATGCCTAGAAATTTCAATTGATACCTTCTGTATCCAATGTTATAATTTCTGTATATTCAGAGTAGTAGTTTTCATTGGCAGTGGCAAGTCCAGAATATTTCTGGTATTCAAATTCCATTTCACAGCATTTTTCAAACACTCGTATTGCATAACATGTCCAGTCATTGAAATAAATATAGGTGGTGATTTCCATGAATTTAGTTGTGACTTATGTTACAGTTATGGAGGCCAAGGGAGACAGTGCTGCCACAGTTGTTTCTCCTAATCCAGCATCAGATTTTATGGATGAGCGAGGTGATGCCTCATCTCATGGAGGCAACACTGAGGTGGTAGAGACACAGGAAAGTGAAGCCTCAAATCTTGATGCAGAACCTCAAGCAGCAGAGCAGTCTGTGACTGAAAGTAAACCAGATGAAGCACCTGGGCCTACTAGTGCTGCCACAAATAATGGTGAAAAAGACAGTATTGCATCTGATGAAAATGTGGACTTGACACAAGATGATAAGGAAGGTAGTTCTGATTCTCAGAGTGAACCGTTTGAGATGCTGAAAATACCTGATCAAGGGGAGGCAACTCCAACACATTCCAATATTGGTGATGAGGCTGAAATAGTGGATGTCACAAAGGACGTAGACCCAGACAGTGTGAAAGAAAAGGATGTGCCTGAGAAGAAGGAAGAGGAAGATGGTTGTATGGACATACTGGGAAATGGTTTGCTGAGGAAGAAGGTACTTGTGTTTAAGTCATGGGCTGCCTCTATTATTTAGAAATAATGGGAAAGGGATTTTTAACTGCTTAAATGAGATAATCAAGTTTGGACACAAATATTTCCATATTGGTTTTCAATATTATCATCTGATGTTGATGTGAATGTTATTTCACTCTGTTCCACTAGGTGACAAAGAAGGGAGAAGGCCACGATTCACGTCCTCAACACGGCGACATGGTGACACTGAAAGCCGAGGGTCGTCTTGAGAATGGCACGGTTGTAGACAAGCAGGAGGCTGTCACATTTGCACTTGGAGATGGCGATGTTATACAAGGTCAGAGTTCATTCTAGATTTGTTAAGTGTATGATGAGGCATGAAGGTGATAAGGCGAAGTACACCCTTTAATATGATTAATACACTGTTGATTTCATTTGTCAAACCCAGTCTAACCAGTGAATAACAGCTTCATCTTACTCCTCCTCCCAGGCTTCGAGTTTTCACATTATTCTTCATCACAAGCAGGGTTTGACATTTCATCATTATATGTTATTATATTTTCATCACCACAGTATGTCTGGTGTCCCCTGCCGTGATATTGCTGGAATATTGCTAAAAGCGGCGTAAAACCATACTCACTCACTCACCACAGTATGCTCTATTTCTTTTAAAAACATGTTTCTATAACTTACTTTATCGTCATTAGAATTGAATGGCGACTATATGAATTTATGAATGTAATGTTTTTAACTAATCCTGTCTCACACCATGCATTTCTCATTCTTCTTTCGATCCTAAGTTGAAATGTGCCTGAACCAAGGTTTCCAGCTTCTGAAAAGCAGTTCACTCGAACACACCTAGCATCACCTTTGTTCACCCTCACACACCTAGCATCACCATTGTTCACCTCCCATCAATCTGGGTCATGCACGCTTTTCATGTCGGTTGACCAACACGCGCTGAACACATGATTTCCCCAGCCAACTCATTCTCTTTCTAATCGCCACATGCTTACTTCAAGGGAATCCATTTGGTTTTCAGGGGGCACGGGTGGCCCAGTCGTCTAAGGTGCCGCAATTTGCTGTGCAGAGTTGCGTTCCTTGGGCACGCCAGAAACATATGATGATTGTGGGTTCGAATCCCGGTTCCCCCACGATTATGTTTCTAGGTTTGTCAGCACCATACCTGTGCTCGTGGGTTTCACCGAAGTGGTAAACGTCTGAGACCTGCATCACTTCGGGCTTTCCTCCCACATTAAGCTGACACGCCGTGATATAACTGGAATACTGTTAAAAGCAGCGTTAAACCAAACTCACTCACTCACTCACTCACTCATTTGGTTTTCTCGTTTTCCAATTTTGCCTCTGCAATTTTTCCAGTCTTTGTCTTCCTCTTGGTGTCTTTGTCATCACTAATATACACATATCTATAAATTATGTTATGGTCATTAGCACTGAATGGCGACTGTATAAATTTATGAATGTAATTATTGTTGGGTGTGTAATTGCCAACTGTTTATTCATTACCTTTACATAGGTACAATGAGTGCACACAATACTGACTCAACACCTTACAGTGTTTATAATGGGTTCAATTCCCAGTGGTAGAAACTAACAGTTTCAGTACACTAGTCCTTATGCTGATAACATATAGCAAAACAATGAATGTGAATGGCACAGTGGCTTTGCCAAGCATGAAGTAATCAATGTCTTCAATAAAGCTTTTTGTCTAAACAACATATTTGTTATTTCCAGTCTAATATTTTGTCTTGAAACAAGCTTATTCTTCCTCCAGCCTGGGACCTGGCAGTGTCTTTGATGGAGACAGGAGAGCACTGTGAACTCAGAACAGCAGCTAAATATGCATTTGGAGCCACCGGCAGGTATGGGAGTTGTCCTGGCTTCTGATCGCTTAGTGTAGCAGTGTCTGCCAGAGTTACCTAACCTTGACGTAGTGGTATGGAGGTTGTCCTGGCTTCCGGTCGCTTAGTGTAGCCATGTCTGCCAGAGTTACCTAACCTGGATGTAGTGGTATGGAGGTTGTCCTGGCTTCCGATCGCTTAGTGTAGCCATGTCTGCCAGAGTTACCTAACCTGGATGTAGTGGTATGGAGGTTGTCCTGGCTTCCGGTCGCTTAGTGTAGCAGTGTCTGCCAGAGTTACCTAACCTGGATGTAGTGGTATGGGGGTTGTCCTGGCTTCCGATCGCTTAGTGTAGCAGTGTCTGCCAGAGTTACCTAACCTGGATGTAGTGGTATGGAGGTTGTCCTGGCTTCTGATCGCCTAGTGTAGCAGTGTCTACCAGAGTTACCTAACCTGGACGTAGTGGTATGGAGGTTGTCCTGGCTTCCGATCGCTTAGTTTAGCAGTGTCTGCCAGAGTTACCTAACTTTGACATCGAGGTATGATAATTAATTTAGCATCAATTGACAACGATATGTCATATGACTAATTGTATGTGATGAAAGCTCCCTAACAGTGTGGATAATTGCTCCTGTCCATGTTTTGTCAGGCTCTGTCTTTAGTATTTACTGACTATGACTACTGACTTTGCTGTTATACTGCTGTTATTATGTTTACACTATCAACCACTAGTTTGCCTTTGTCATGCAAATTACTTGTACACCACTGTAATGACTCTCAGCTGGTACCACAGTGTGAATACTTTTCTTTCGCTGACCATTTCAGTCATAGATGTCCCTTTCAAGTAGGTATTTGTGATGTGTCACTTACTTTAATCAAATGGAATATATTTGGAATCTGGTTGATTGACTCTCTCTATTCCTGCTGATACTTCAAAATGAGATGCTAATGTAGCTTCTTCTTGTGGACATTGCAGAGAGCCAGACATCCCTGCTGATGCCACCATCACGTACACCCTGGAGCTTGTCAGCAAAGCGCAAAGCCCCATGCTCAGCAGCCTGTCGTTGATAGAGCGCTTGAAGAAAGGGTAGGTTCATGCTGAGAATTTCACATGGCGTATATGCTCTTGCTCGATGCTAGAAAATCAGCTTATGAGGCTGACAGAGATACAAATGTTTTCTGGGCATCAGGTTTTCATTTTGACACCTGTGACTTGGGCCTCTATTTCTATTTCATACTTTTTATTTCTAAATAATATATTCAGGGTTCTGTTATCGATTCCTAGAAAATATATCTCTGGTTTAACAAGTTACAGGAAGTGACGACAGATTGTAAGGGCTTCTAAGCCGGTTTAACAGAGAAGAAGGATGAGCTGTTGCAGACAATTGGTGTCTTGGTCACTAAGGCTGAAGAAGCTGATCTGTTACCTTGTTTGATTTAGGCCAGAATGAATGTAAAGTTGACTTCCCTTGGTACTCAGAGAACTCGCCCAAGTATTAATAAACGTTTTAACTTTCATCGACTTGTGTTGATATATTTGATATAAAAATATCCTCATGTGTGATTCTCTATTTATCATCTAAAATCATTCTTTGAACTTTTTGAGTAAACAATAATAACCTGTGTCCTGAATGAAGTTACAATTACCTGCAAAACATTATACAATTTCATTGCAATCTAATTAAAAACATATCTTATAGGACAACCTATTACGGGGCACGCCGTATGTTGAACTTATCAGAGTTTTATTGAACTCACCAAAGCGATATCTCCCATGGGAGCCAGTTTTGGATAAAAGGTTTGTTTTAGGCTAAAATCAAAAATAGTCTTGGTTCTCAGGCACTGCCCGCATCATCATAAAGTTCGCCGCACGTTTCGTTTTTATTTAAAAAGTCCAACGGTAGTCAAATACTGTATTCCAGTATATTACTCATGAAGGAATACATTTCTGTAGGGAGGCCCTTTCCCAGGTTGATTGTTCACAATTGTTTATTGATTAAACAACTGTTTATTGGTTACATACTAGTTTGAACAACTAAAAAAAAAAAGACACCGCCCGACCGCACTATATTTTCGAAAAACATTGCTTGAGGACCATTTCTTTTATTTTTTTAAGCCTTAAATACAAAATATTGGTCCTCCCTCCATCATCACTATAAAAGAAGCTGTTAACAGAGTCTCTGTTATGTTTGTTTTTCTCTTGTTCCCAGGGAAACCAAGCGAGAGAGGGGCAATTTCCTGTTTGGAAGGAAGGATTACACTGGAGCCATTAACTCCTACTCAAAGTATGTTCCAGGCACGGACATGGATGATCCCTTTCTGTGTTGTCGTACACTTGTGTCATTAATCATATAAATATTCAGTATGTTATTCTTGGAGATTTCTTGAATTAATGTCCACATATCTTTCTTTATGGAGTATAGTTTTGTGATCACTTGTGAATTTGTCAGTTTCAAGTTTCGTACACCACTTGAGGAAACAAATGTTGCATCTTCTAGACAGTGACAGGAATGATCGTACACTGGATATATAAAGAACTGAAATACAATGGTTAATATTCAATCTGTTAATATTTCGTTGACTCACTAACCCCTCAATTACAATTAATTTCAAGACTGATTAATCACTCAGCTTGTAGTTTGTCAGTGTTATGTCACTAGCGTGTGATGGCAACAGTCATACATGTATATGTGTGTATTCTCCAGGGCCATTACGGTACTGGAATATCCTGGCAGCACTGATGGCGCCGAGACCAACACATTGCAGGAAGTCTTGGACTCCAAACTCAAATGCTACAACAATTTGGCTGCTTCTCAACTAAAGGTAGGTTCATTTCACACTGCAGTCTCGCATGGACATATGAACACCATGACATAACTCTATTCTGTTCCACACAGCCTTGGAGGAAGAGTAACCCATCATAGGATGGCGCTCAGTACTAAGATCCTGACTGTTCTGTTCCACACAGCCTTGGAGGAAGAGTAACCTATTATAGGATGGCGCTCGGTACTAAGATCCTGACCGTTCTGTTCCACACAGCCTTGGAGGAAGAGTAACCCATTATAGGATGGCACTCGGCACTAAGATACTAAGATTCTGTTCCACACAGCCTTGGAGGAAGAGTAACCCATTATAGGATGGGGCTCAGTACTAAGATCCTGACCGTTCTGTTCCACACAGCCTTGGAGGAAGAGTAACCCATTATAGGATGGCGCTCGGTACTAAGATCCTGACCGTTCTGTTCCACACAGCCTTGGAGGAAGAGTAACCTATTATAGGATGGCGCTCGGTACTAAGATCCTGACCGTTCTGTTTCAGATTGATGCTTATGATGCAGCAATCAGGTCCTGTGAGGGCGTACTGAAGAGTCAGCCAGACAATGTCAAAGCCTTGTACAGAATAGGAAAGGTAGACACAGAAATAGTTTCTGAAGATGCCAATTGTTTTATGATATATGAAGAGATTTATGGGCACAAGCTTATCTAGATTGTTGGCATTTTGCTCTTTACACAATTACTTCCTTTGACATAACACCTCATACTTGTAACATCTGGTTTAAATGGAACTTGGGTAGTGATATTTCTCATGAAGGTGTATTTTATTTTTAGTTCCAATTGTGAGCTGTTACTCTGTTGTTACTGATGGCCGATATCGTCTTATTGCAGGCATACAGTTCCAAAGGAGAGAATGAGAAAGCTTTATCTTATCTGAAGAAGGCCTTGAGTATAGATCCAGCATCAAAGGTGAGGTTATATCTGTGTGTGTGTTTTGAGATGTTTATTCAATAAGATGTGCTGTTGTCCTCGTGTCTGTGAAATAAGTGGATAAATGTTAATCAATAATTTGATTTCACCATTCCTCATTCACATGATGGGGAAATAGCATTCCGGAGGTCTACAAATACATGTGTACAAAGGAATGTCATTCCACAACTTCAATTTTCTTGGGAGACGTACTGTGCTGTCTGGTTTAAGAGGGTTCCACTGTCCAACATGTATTGTTTGGATTAAGAGGGTTCCACTGTACAATACATGTTGTCTGGATTAACAGGGTTCCACTGTACAACATATGCTGTCTGGATTAAGAGGGTTCCACTGTCCAACATATATTGTCTGGAGTAACAGGGTTCCACTGTACAACATATGTTGTCTGGATTAACAGGGTTTCACTGTACAACATATGTTATCTGGATTAACAGGGTTTCACTGTACAGCATATGTTGTCTGGATTAACAGGGTTCCACTGTACAACATATGTTGTCTGGATTAACAGGGTTCCACTATACAACATATGTTGTCTGGATTAACAGGGTTCCAAAGTACAAACATGTTGTCTGGATTAACAAGGTTCCACTGTACAGCATATGTTGCCTGGATTAACAGGGTTTCACTGTACAACATATGTTGTCTGGATTAACAGGGTTCCACTGTACAACATATATTGTCTGGATTAACAGGGTTCCACTGTACAGCATATGTTGTCTGGATTAACAGGGTTCCACTGTGCAACATTTGTTGTGGTGATGCCTATTGTCTGTCGGAGATAGTGGTGCGATCTGTCTTGTAGACCCGATTGCCTGTACACCCCTTAACACATGTTAGGCCTGATTTCATGATGCCATGTCCGACTAGCGTCAAGGGGTCGCATCTCCTGTTATGGTATTTTTGCCCACTCATGACTTCTTGTCTTTACGACACAAGGCAGTGTTAAAGATTCTTTTATTTGTATCACTGTTCAACACCAGCTTCCTAGTGTATGTCTCATGGTTGTCATCTCTACAGGCAAGTATACCTGTGCCCAGAATAAGTTTTTAAAAATTTTACTTATATATAGAGGATATTTCATGTGTCGAGTGCAGTATCATCATGTTTCGCCCATCAAGGGACTTTGGGGGAGACCCGTGAATATCCGGGGTAGAATAGGTCTTCAGCAACCCATGCTTGCCGTAGACTGCGACTAACGGGATCGGGTGGTCAGTCTCACTGACTTGGTTGATGCACGGTCATCGATCCCAATAGCATGGATCGATGCTCATGATATCAATCACTGGATTGTCTGGTCAAGACTCGATTATATAGCTGGAATATTGCTGAGTGCGGCGTTAAACAACAAACCAACCAACCAACTTTGGGGGAAGGAGGAGGAGATATTTTCATGAGTGGTGTATCATCCCACTTACCTACTGGAGATGTTTAGGATGATTACTAAAAACTGTACTCTTCATTTCTACGAGTGATTTTCAGAACTCTTGAATGTAGTGAACCATCAGTAAGAATACATCACTATTGAATCTAGTGTCTTGATATGTAGTAGTTGGAAGTGTTCTTCCATTTTTACAGATTATCCATGCAGAGTTGTCAAAGCTTAGTCAGAAGTTAAAGGCAGACACGGACTCTGAGCGGGCAATGTACCGGAGAATGATGGGAGCAAATAAGCCGTCAAAGAAGCCAAGTAGTGGTCCATCTGTAAGTAGATGTCAGTCTTGACCTAGTGGTCCATCAGTGAGTCAACGTCAGTTTTGAATCTAGTGGTCCATCAATATCAATAAATCGACGTCAGTCTTGAATCTAGTTGTCCATCAGTAAGTGGACGTCAGTCTTGAATCTAGTTGTCCATCAGTAAGTGGACGTCAGTCTTAAATCTTGTGAGTCATTCTTTTTACTTTTCGACCTGTGATTAATATATGTATTTAAATACTTGCTGTATATGTCTGCATAGGCATACCCCAGAAAGAAGTGTCATTGCTTTAATGGTTCTCCTCTGTTGTATTTCAGTGGTGGAAGATGCCCCTGATATTTGGTGGTGTGATGGCAGGAGTAGTATCTGTGGGTCTCGCAGTAGCGTACAGATATGGCCAGCACTGACACTGACTGCTCCCATGTCAAGAAGCGGGACAGAACATTGTGACACAAGGGGCGAGACAGTATAAAACCTGTGACAGCTGGGGGCATGATAACGTGACACCTGTGACAGCTAGGGGTGTGGCAGTGTGACATTGTGACAGCGAGGGGCGTGGCAGTGTGACATTGTGCCAGCTTGGGGCGTGATAGCGTGACACCTGTGACAGCTAGGGGTGTGGCAGTGTGACATTGTGACAGCTAGGGGCGTGGCATTGTGACAGCTAGGCGCGTGATATTGTGACACCTTAGGACATCACAGTGTGACAGCTAGGCGCATGACAGTGTGACATTGTGACAGCTTGGGACATCACAGTGTGACATTGTGACAGCTAGGGGTGTGGCAGTGTGACATTGTGACACCTCAGGCGTGACATTGTGACAGCTTGGGACATCACAGTGTGACAGCTAGGGCCTGACACTGTGACAGCTAGGGGGTGTGAGATTGTGACAGCTAGGGGCGTGGCAGTGTGACATTGTGACAATGTGACAGGTGTGACATTGTGACAGCTTGGGGTGTGACATTGTTATAGCTTGGGGCGTGGCAGTGTTACATTGTGACAACTAGGGGCGTGAGAGTGACATTGTGACAACTAGGGGCGTGAGAGTGACATTGTGACAGCTAGGGGCGTGACAGTGTGACATTGTGACAGCTAGGGGCATGACAGCGTGACATTGTGACAGCTTGAGGGGTGACATTGTTACAGCTAGGGGTGTAGCACTGTGACATTGTGACAGCTAGGGGCGTGACAGTGTGACATTGTAACAGCTAGGGGCGTGACAGTGTGACATTGTGACAGCTAGGGGCGTGACAGTATGACGCCTGTGGATTGAATCCTTTTGAGACATTAATTATGATTTTCATCCACCCCTTCAATGAGTATGAAAACAAGATGAAATATTCTGGATGTTTATATATATAACTAACCATACCATAAAGTTAACATTTGTCCAGAATGATCTACTACAGGATATGTGAACTTGTTACTTGTGCATATGGATTGACCAAAGAACATTTGGAATAATCTCAAACCTGAACATTTGTGAAGAATGAGAGTACCAATCATCCAGCAACTACTCGACAGTGGAAGGGAGGTAACTCAGGACTATGACATATGATGTTAGTCGCAGGAGTTGTTTGGTTAATTATTTACTGCAGAGGAGGTTGTAATTGTGCAATAAATTTGTAACAATTGTGTAAGTATAACAACATGTTATACAGAAGACATGTCTACACATATTCCCAACCATTCGTGACCAACTCGTGTTATTCCGGGACAAACCAAATGGCGACTCATGCCGCTTGTGGCCATTTTTGTGACCAGGTTCCGTTTTAGTGCAAAGGGGGCATAGCTAAACAAATTGTCAACTTGTTGCGTAATGATCCATGTATATTTCCCCATATATTATAGAATTTCGGATGCAATTTAAAGCACGTCGGGACATACGGTATTATACAGTATGAGTAAACACATGTGACTGTATGTCGGGTATATTTGTAGATGTAAGACATATGTAAACACAAAAATTATTCCTGAGGGATTCTTTGATCGAAGGACTTGAAGTCATACACGCATTTTGATTGGTTTGTCATATTTTCGCACAAAACATTTATGAATAGGGGGACGAGTCTTTTGGAGGTTACGGAAAGGGGCGAGTGGTGACGAATAATTCCCAGCTGCTTAATATACTACTGGTATATTTGCTCTCAGTGTGTTACCAGTTGTCTGCTTTGGTAGATATTGTATACAATGTATCTGTGAAATGGTTGTCAAGTAAATGAGACTCTTTATGAGTTATGGTTATGACAATCAAAAGGAGCCTGGTGATTATGGTTGTTAATCGCTGTTATCTTTCTAATATTCAAATGTATTTACGACTTTTTGTCGCATGTTCTGACATCTTGTCTTACATCTGTCATGAATGTAGGCAAACATTAAGTCATGAATATGAGAATTATAGTGCCAGCATGTTGGTTAAAATTTGTGCGACAACTTTATCAAGATACCGCACATGAGTTTACATACACTGAGAACATTATTTCAACTAGTTTCTACTTATGACTATATCATACTGCTAATCCGATATCAGAAGATGAATTAAACAGAAAGAGAATACAGATTCAGTCAAACATAACTAAGTGTATAATGATATTCTTTTTTTTTTAACACTTTTTTCTTGCAAAATCACTAGTGGAACTTAGGTGGTTGTATTACTGAAATTTGCAAGATTTGCATGGTTTAATATACCAGAACCTTATGTCAGCTTTCGATGTGTTATAAAAAAACATAGTCAATAATCTTAGAAATGTTCATGCACTATGCGAAGATGCCTGGAATTAACTAAAAGGGAAACCCAGCTGGGTTATCGGCTATAAATAGAGTCATCTGAATAGATAATGTGTGTACAGATCATAGAGATTTTGTTGCCAGGAACCTGGAGTGCTGTGTAACACATTGTTACACTTATGGTTGAGAGCGAGGTATGGCATTGTGGAACTTTGGGGTATACCAGTAACTGACATGAACAAGCAGAACTGAGTTTGGGGATGATAAATAATAAAAATATACTTACTGGATGTGGAACAATATATATCATCAGATGATATGTTTTCGGACAACCATATTTATTGCGAGTACTTCCACTTTAACAAGGGTTGTGTCACACAGATATTGTAAATACTCAGATGATGGCTTGATTTTAAGATAAAGTTGTCTTTTATAAGTGAGAGAGATGTTTTACGGTTGTTCTTTTGATAAGCGAGAAAACAAGGGGATACTAACAATTCAGGAATCTGTTATTGTTTATAAGCAGAGGTCAAGGGAAAAGAACCATTTTGGAGTTTTTGAATGTGGTCTTGCTTCCTGAAGTATTTTGATGTTTAGGATCTCAAGTATTGTAAATCTGTGTACGGTCTTCATGAATGTTGACATGTGAAGACCCATCCCCAGTTATCTCCCCTAACCAACAATGTTCATGAATCTTCACGGCTTTTACATGGACTTCGTTTCCCTGCTGTTGTGACGGGAAAATATATTATGCAAATCTTCCCAGTATGTACCCTCCCCAAATGCATGTCATATTTTTAGGTCACCCTCCCCAGTCCTTGTACTATATTTTATTATGAAAATGTCAATTTTTTTATGACCCTCCCCAAATATGAGTATTATTTTAATGACCCTCCCTAGAGACTGTCGTATGTTTTGTGACCCTCCCCGGATTCCTTCTGACCCATGCTGGATTCCTTCTGACCCACCCCACTTTTTTTTAAATGACCGGTACCGAAGGAGTAATGTGCAGGCCAATACAAGAAAGTATGTAACATGTGTCTGTCCAAGCACACGTCTCATTTATACTTGCAATGTGCATATGTTCATCTGTTACAGTTGATTTGTTACTGAATAGTGCAAATGATTGTAGACTTTTAGATACCTTGGCCCTGTTCCACAAAGCAATCTTAGTGCTACGACTGTCCTAAGTCTTTGTTAAAGTATGGGAGTTACGATTGTCTTAGCGCTAAGAACACTTTGTGGAACTGCACCCAGTACTATATGCATCACCCTCCAACATGGGACCAGGCGTACAATGTGAATAGCTTGTAATGATGAATTGCTGTATATTATAATGTGAATTGTATTGTTGAGTGAAGTCTGTACTCCAGAAATGTGCATTTGGAAGTTCTGGTGTTGAAAGCAAGGATCAGTGTTTGTTATAACTGTATTTTAGCAAGATTGTGATGGATGATTTGATAATTAAATTGCATACATCAACATGTTTGTTTGTTTTGAAAAGTCGCCTGTCCTTTGATTCTGATCGGATAGTTGGCCATATTGGAGAACCTGTTTCTGGTCATTACTCACCTATTGTTTTCAAAATGAAACAAAATTTGGTACATTTTTGTTTGTTTGTTGGTTGTTTAACGCCACACTGTATGCAATATTCCAGCCCTATGAAGGCGGTCTGTAAATAATCGAGTCTGGACCAGACAATCCAGTGATTGATATCATGAGCATCGATCAGCACAACTGGGATACGATGACATGCATCAGCCAAGTCAGTGAGCCTGAACACCTGATCCCGTTAGTGGCCTCTTACATATTTGGTACATATGTAGTTATTAGTGGTATATTTGTGTTATCTGAAAGTTTGATCTTGACTTGACCTTTGCACTTCAACCATGCTCCTAAATTCTCTGAATATGCATTTCCTTGCACCTGGAACATCTCAGCTGGATCAATGAAGCTGAAACCTCAAGTGCTTCACCAATGACAATGCCCCAATTAGTTCCAGAGGGTTGAAGGGGGCACGGGTGGTCCAATCGTCTAAGGCGCAGCGATTCGCTATGCAGAGCTGCGTCCCTTGGGCATGCCCGAAACTTATGATTGTGGGTTTGAATCCTAGTTTGCCCCGATTATGTTTCTGGGTTTGTCAGCACTATACCCGTGCTCGTGGGTTTCACCGAAGTGGTAAACATCTGAGACCTGCATCACTTCAGGCTTTCCTCCTACATTAAACAGACATTCCGCGATATCACTGGAATACTATTGAGTGGCGTGAATCCCAACTCACTCACTCACCAAGAGGGTTGAATCCTATTTTCAGCATATTGACTGTTTTTCCCTCCTGCTCACTCAAACACTTCAATGAAAAAAAATTTTTTCCTCCTAAAAAGTTAGTTAAGGTTGGCCCTATTTTATGAGGCTGATGTATACCACCATCAGACAGTAACAGAATTCAAGTATTATCCTATTATTTTGTGTGGGCTCATCTACTCTCAGAGAAACATTTGAATCAGTCTTGAAGGGTCTGTCTGAGGAGAGGAAGGTCGTGGTTCGATCCCCGGCCATGTCATATTGAAAGATGTTAAGAAATGGTACTTACTGTTTCCCTGCATGGCACTCAGCATTAAGGGAGTAAAATAAGGACGGGTCGGCTCAAAGTCAGTATTCTGTGTCTGAGTTGGGTATCCATGTTAAACTGCAACATGGTATCTCTGTGGGCTTACAAACACATGCACATAGCTATGAAAGTGCATTCTTGATGAAAACGACATCAAACCCTGTTTACCCTCACCTGTCTTGAAGGTGTTGCTGGACATACGTCTGACAGAATGATACCCAATTGCAATGGATTAAATGTTGCCACCACATTCTAACCCTTCAGATGCCTCTGTATTGCAGCGACACACAAATGCATTGGCTGGACAATATGTAGCTTAATCCCAGGTGCATTGTCCAAACATGTCTTAGAGTGAAGATCAGGGGTAGAATAGGTCTTAAGCAACCCATGCTTGCCGTAAAAAGCGACTATGCTTGTTGTAAGAGGAGACTAACAACATCGAGAGGTCAGGCTCGCTGATTCCGGTTCATGCATGTCATTGTATCCCAATTGCATGGATCGATGTTCATGATGTCAATCACTGGATTGTCTGGTTCAGACTTGATTATTTACAGACTACCGTCATATAGCTGGAATATTGCTGAGTGCGGCGTTAAACAAACAATCATGTGTACATGTGTACACAGTGTTACCACAGCAGTGAGAGCGTGTACTTCAGTCTATCATGTCTATAAATAGTTAGGTCTCCACAAAGCAAACCATTATGGTACATTGCCACGCCATCAGTCAAGTCAGAGCCTGACTCAGATCCCCATTTCCATGATCTTAGTTGGCTTTAACTAGCATGAGGCCATATCATTAGCCTGTAAATGATCACATCTGGGCCACACAAACCAGTGCTTGATGGCATGAGCAACAATCAAAACCACTGCAGCCACCTCATCCCCATCCTGGTCAGCTGTAGCATTGATGTATTCTGACCTGGAATACTCACAGGGGGGGGGGGGGGGGGGGGGGATATCCAGGCATACTGAATGCTCTTTAACATGCATATGCATGAACACATACTACCAGAAATAATCATATGGACAGTTAACATTACTGTAATTTAAGACACTGTAATAATGAGAACATGGCTGGTAATTGAAGAATATGAGCAGATTATCTCCCTTTCCCTGGTGTCAGATGAGATGTGGCAAGTCGTCAGATCTCAATTTCCCATGATGGGATGAGGCCACAGGTCGACCTTGGTCAAGAAGCTGGATCTCATGTTTAGAGTTGCATCCCTTAGCCTTGCCAGGATCTGCTGTTTGAATCCCAGATTTTCCCTGAACATGATTCTTTTGGGTTGCTGTCATACATTGATTAGTCTTTATCTTGGATTCTGTAAATTGGACTAACAAAACAACTGTGCCTGTTAGGGCCATTTACACATACATATCTTGATCATTTTAGAATGTTAATATATTAAATATATACTGTATTTCCTCAAGTTGATTTTTTGGGCCTGTATTTATTCAGATATCTATTGCCTAAGGATTAAACAGAAACCTGTCCTGGGGTCTGTTTGAAGACCCAGCCTCTATTTCTTCACATCTACATCAACACATGAGTGTTTGTTTGTTTGTTGTTTAACACTGCACTCTGCAATATTCCAGCTATATGACGGTGGTCTGTAAAATAAGCAAGTCTGGACCAGACAATCCAGTGATTGACATCATGAGCATCGATCCACGCAATTGGGATACGATGACATGCATCAACCAAGTCATCGAGCCTGAGCACCTGATCCCGTTAGTCGCCTCTTACGACAAGCATAGCCACCTTTTACGGCAAGCATGGTTGCTAAAGACCTATTCTACCCCGGATCTTCACTGGCTCAACACATGAGTGTGCATGTTACAAACTACCAACACATATTGACAAAACATTCACTCTTCTCATACAAATCCCATGAAAATCAGGGTTAGAATTGGTCTTCAGCAACACATGCTTGTAGTGAGGCAACTAACAGGGTCAGGTGTCAGGCCTACTGACAAGGTTGATGCATGCGAGTTGGGTAGATTGATGCTCATGATGTCAATCACTGGATTGTTAGGTCAAGACTCGATTATATACAAACCTTCATATAGCTGAAATATTGTTGAGTGTGAGGTTAAACAACAAACAAACAAATCTCATACAACCAACAACCATAAGGTACAGTACACATATATTTTTATCACTATTTTCACTTTGGCAACTGGAGACCCAACCACTATTCTTCCAGTTTGATTTTTATCTGTTGTCTATTAGAGAAAATATGGTATATATATTTTTACAAGCACTCATCGACTTCTGTAACTGTAACATTATGTAATAAACATGAAGTTCATCGAGTGTTATTTGTTTTCTATGGAAGCTGAACACTTAAATGAGTGTGAACAAACACTCATGAAAATGGATTGTCCAGTTTCTACTGTTGCCTAGAAATGTAAAACATTTGATATTTCAACTAAATATAATAACAGTATGTTCAGGTCTAGACTCAATTTGCACATAATAAATATATTTTTTTCAAATAATAAAATACAGGCTACCTTTTTCCTGTATTTCATTGTGTCAATTTCGCTGTGCAGAGTTGCATCCCTTGGACATGCCAGAAACCTATGATTGTGGGTTCGAATCCCGGTTCGCCCCAATTATGTTTCTAGGTTTGTCAGCACCATACCCGTGCTCGTGGGTTTCACCGAAGTGGTAAACGTGAGACCTGCATCACATGGGCTTTCCTCCCACATTAAGCTGACACGCCGTGATATAACTGGAATAATGTTAAAAGCGGCGTTAAACCCAACTCACTCACTGTGTCCATACTCATTGTGATCTTGGATATACTTACAAGCTGCTGGAGGTGTTGAAATTGGCCACACAATTGCAGTTGCATGACACTACCGAACCTGTCTGAAAGATTCATGCTGGTCATCCATTTTATGATTGGCTGAGTTTTCATTGCGATTCTTTGACGCAGTGAGATTGTGGTATATTGTTTAATTAGTGATGTTTCTGTGCCAACATTGGCATGTATTGACTTCAGATGAAAAATTAATTATATCAGGTGAGTAGCAGAGCCTTTGATAGTGTCTTTATTTGAAATGTACGACTTCCCCTGCATCTGAGTCAAGTATTCGTATTGCATCAATCGCGAAACTACACATGACATATTTGTTATTAATTGATTTAAACATGATTCTTCTTTAATTTGATCAAGATCTATTTTACTCGAATTTAAAGCCAAATGAGAGAAATTGTCCTATTTTGTGGAAATTCAACCTAATTCCAACAGTGTGACGTTGCAGTTGCTCATTTCGTTACGAATTTGAGAACAGAAAACAAATGGTAAACAATGCAAAATCCACATGGCCGTAGTGATCATGTGTCAATCTAAATTTAGTAACAACGTCAAACAGCTGTTTATCGGGTGTGCTTACAATTTCATACTTATTACTTGACAAGTAACCACTGACATGATATCGTAAGCAACTGATAAAGATGTGAAGGGAACTCTTTGTCTTCCATTTAATTTAAGGCGAAATTTTCCGCGCGATTAGCGCCGAACAATCACTGGGGAACGAGCAAATTTGCAATGGATTTGTGTCACATGATCGCTCCCTGAAACAGGATTTGTTAACTTACGGCTGAACTCTACCATTCCGCTTGGCGAAATAGTCCGGGGAGGAATCCTACACACTCTAATAATATATGCCGCCATGTTTATGAAACATGCCTATATCAGAAGGTAGTTCAATATCTTTATCGTCATAAAAACTTCCATTTGAATTATTATTTGATAGATGAAAAAATGCTGCGGATCCCCACAGTTGACCTTTGTAAAGCTTGAATTTTGTGTATTCATGGGCGACAGACTATGGAGGCAGAAGGGGAGTCAATGTAAAATTTATTATTGCGTTTCTCGTCAATACCCTGGCCTCAGAAACAAATTTTCACCCATAAAATTTACGAATGGTCAGACAAGGCCTTTCTTATCGGCCTTAGCCTGCGTAATTTCTCCTTGTTTGTAGATGGAGTGTCCACACTTGGAAGAAAGCGCAAGAATAACCACAGCGCCCTCTGTGAAATGTGAAAATAATCCATCAGAATTTTCTTGTTCGGGTACGTATTAATGATTTTTGTTGCACTTTTTGTTTTGAAATGTTGTATTGTAATGCGACAGAAGAAAAAGTGTTCACTGTCGATTACAAACATTGCTAGATTTCAGAATGTCAGCGAAGCAAGGTCGGTTTCAACCGAGTGCAAGGGCCATGTGCTTTGTGTACCGATTTCGTGATAGTTTTACATGCCCTGTCAATATGAATTTCAATTTTTAGTTATATTTTGCACTAATTATGAAATGAAGTCTTCAACAGTTCACGCATTCCGGTTATTGGTTGGAAACCGGGTCAAATAGTTGTGTACATATTTCCGATTTGACAACGACATCCGTCTGTCAAGTTTGCTCGCCTGTCATCTGGGTAGGCCTTGTGTATTCCTACACAGCACACAAAGTGAATTCTTTGTGACCGGCCACCTCTCGGTGACATCATGTAGGCCTACAAAATTAGTCCAGTGTCTCCATAACACCACACGTACAGAAATATAATAGGTTGTATTACAAGCAAATAATAATAACAACGTAATAGCTGTTTTTGTCGGAATACTTTTCTTGTGGTTTGATCGTCCATCTGATGCCGGCATCATCTTGTCAAAGATGTTAGCCTATTAGGTCCTATATAGGCCCTAATATATCGAGAAAGCTTAGTGTTTTGATAAAAAAATGTTTCACACGTTGTTTGTTAAACAGTTTGAAGTAGCTGAACATAGATAACTTAGGAAAAAAGTTTTTCATTTACACCATTGGTAAATAGATCTATATTAGATATATCCGTCAGTTATTGGGCCTATTCAATAAAATATTTTTGTTTTAAATTTACCTCCCCCCACATCATACTTATGATGTTGTAAGTAATCTTATACTGTCTCATATTTAATTGATCCATTAATGATCTGTATTTGACCATAATGAATATCAGTATATGTAACTGATGGTGTTAGACATGGTCACAGTGAGTGGTAGATGTAAACAGAGTTACTTCCCTTTCATTACGAAAGCATATTTGCTTCACTAGGCTATGCTGATGTTGTGATCAGAGGAACTGTTTTAGATATCAAATTTGTAGTTTGTATATCCCAGATAAATTTGTAGTTTGTATATCCTAGATAAATACCTGATATGGAATTCACATCATTGTTAATATAAATAGTACTAAATACAGATATTATAGTAATGACATTATGGTATATATGTTGACACCATGTGGACCTTGTTACCCTTAAGATGAAGTTATCAATATTGAGACATGATTTCTTCACTCCAGCTGATTATGAAGTGTGGATAATAAATAGGATGTTATGTTCAGTGATGCAAATGAACCAGTGACATTTGCTAGCCCAATCCTATGTGGATTCAGGATTAGAATTAGTCCCAAGCAACCTCTACTGGTCTTAAGAGGCCACTTAATCAGGCTTGGTAGCTTTGTTGATAGCATGTCCATGTAGCCCGATTCCATGGTTTGTTGCTCATAATATCGATCACTAGACTTTTTTTTACAGATAAAGCTGGAATATTGCTGTGTGGTATTTCTATAATGCTTTTGAATATTATCATCCAACTTTCCATCCATGTCCATATCAAGCAGACCATGTTGTAGTGTTCAAACCCCTCAAAATCATCAGACAGTTATCATGTTATTGTTAACATGGCTATCTAAATGTACCTGGTAAGCAACAATGCCTCAGTACCAGTTTTATTGTGGACCTTATTTGTGACCATTTAACTCATTTATTTCAGTTTGTCAGACAGGGAAGAGTCCCTGGATCTGTCTTGCTTGTGGTGAAGTCAACTGTGGCAGGTATGTGCTGAAGGAGACATGTAGAACACCTTTCTTTTAATCCATACAACATATGTCATATAATAATATTGGCAGTTCTGAAATCGGGAAGGTAGGAACGATATTTGCTGTTTGAGACATGCAGTCGAATATTCCAGGGTTATTTCTAGGTCTTAGGTTATTGGGCACTGACAATTGACCATTGGCCAAATGTCTATAGAACAGTATGCAAAATTACCTTTGGTACTAGACTAGTTTCCTGGCATAAGTTAAGATTTTGTTCTTGAGTGGATTTGAAGAATTATGCTTTTTCATACTTATGTTTGCCAGATATGTGAATGCTCATGCCAAGCAGCACTTTGAAGATGCCAACCCTGCTGTTCCCAATCATGCAGTCTGCATGGACTGTCACAATCATATGGCATTCTGGTGAGTAACATATTCCATGTGTGGCTGTGATAAGAATGTCAAGTAATTCTGAATGTGTTCAATAGTGTTTTTATGATCTATTATCTTTTAGTTTGTTACTTGATGACTGTTTTGAATGTTTTCTCAAGGGATGGCTTACCGTTTGTCTCAGATTGTAATAAGTGTATTTAATTCAGGGATTTTTTAGCCACAACCCAAAATGGATCATATAATAGGCAATGCAAGGGAAGACAACTCTCACCTGAGGCTTTGCATAATGTGTATCATCTGCATATCTTATTGCAAATGAATTTGCTTTTGATTTGGTTGTATGTGATGGGTTTTACTGCAGCTCTGTTTGTATATTTCAGTTATGTCTGTGATGAGTTCGTGATCAATGACACAGAATCTGGACATCTAGAGAAACTCAGGAAACACTTAGAATCTCTTTCTAGATTAGCCTCTCAGTCTCAAAGGTAAATGGCATGGAGAGGTTGTCATTGAGGTTGACTATTACAGTCATTTGTATTTTTCCACATGTAGAGTAATTTGTAAGCACACCACCTTGTATGATGTTCTGCAGTCATCCCACAAATGTTTTCTTTGGTGAAGCCTATGTTTATAATTATTGAAGCCGCATGCTGGGAATTTGTTAACTCTTTAGGAGATACACCTGGTTGTATATTTTGGAAGTTGAACTTTGATTAAGAGTCAAGAATGGGAGTTTGGGAAACGGCTTTGTAATGCTATTATATGCTATACAGTTACTTGTGAATGATGATTTAATGATTGTTATACCCATCAGGTCATTCTTGTTTCAGTGCTCAAAATTTCCGAAAAGAAATACGGAGGAGGGATTCAACAGGGTCAATAGAAAATGTCAGGAAAAAAGCGAAAAAGGTAATACTAGTTTCGACCACTGACATTGTATGTTTATTTGTCATGAGAAATATATGCATTTGGCTACTATGTTTTCATAAGCTGACACGCTGTGATAAAACAGGAAAACTGTTCAAAAGAGGTATTTTCTGTACCTGTGTTTGATGTATTGTCTAGATTTATGTGTTCATTTTGTTATGATCATCCCTGTATCAATATTTTGTTCATATATTTCAGGATGACAAGTCGTCCCGACCAAGATCCTCAGGTTTGCGGAACCTAGGAAACACATGCTTTATGAATGCTGTTTTACAGTCACTTAGGTGGGAGCACTGTTGTTTACAATCGCAATTCCTTGTCTGTAGTCATGGTAATCCTGGATGGAAACACTACTGATGGATGAGTTGAAAGTAGTGTCGTCTTGGGTCAGATTTGACATGTTTCATCAAAATGGGTTTATTGCTATATATCTATATAGAATCTGTAATCATGGTAAAGTTGGATAGCTTTTTTGTCAACAATTAACATTGAGGATACAGTGTAGAAGATTTGGTCCTGATTGTCTTGGTGTTGTGTTCCAGTAATATACAACAGTTCTGTGGGTATATAAAGCAGTTACCTTCTCTAGAAGACCAAGTGTGTAAGAGAAAATACAACCACGCGAAGAAAACCCGGGAGACAGGAGAAAACATGTAAGTGTGTGTGCACATAGGTGATTGCTGACCTGTTGCCAGGTAGATGAGAAATATTTGACAATCCTTGAATTTTCTGATAGCATTCTATTTTACCTATGGGTACTGCTGAGTGTTTATGAGACCAGAAAAGTAGTGTTTGACACTGTGCTGATGTCATAGATATATTGGATTTCAGACATAGGTTTTAGTAACCAGTCTTACGAAATTCCAGTTTATGTCAATCACTCGTAATCTCATGTGGGGTTTAAATATCAAGAACTTTATGAACATGATGTGAGTATGTTTTAGTCTGTTTTCAGTCGTACAAATGGGTATCTCATACCTCTAGTCGCACGTTAAAAGGAAGCCAGAAGCTGGAATGTAAACAATAAACTTGTTTCCGTCCGGTTGCGCACGCACCTCCCTATGACATCCCACAAATCTCTCAGCGCGCCTCTGAGCTGGTCGCTCGAGAAGGACTTTTGCGATAGACTGCTAGTTTGTATTCTACTAGTACTTATCGTGTGTCTAGAGTTGTTCTAATACAGTAATAATAATATGTCTTACCTGTAGACTCCTGGAATGTAATCCTTGGTAATCCATTGTTTGTGTTCAACACGTGTTTCACTGTTTGACTTGATTATACACGTGGCAACATGTCAGGCTTTTCTGCCTCGTGTCAAAGTATACTGTGTAAAGTAGATCCTCACAAGTATTGTCCTTCCTGCATAATTAAGGACGGATTTTTAACCTGTTCGTGGGATAAGCGTTGTAAAGAATGTGATCACTTTAATAAACTTTAATTGGTATCTTCGTGCGTTGGCGAAGCGGGCTACTGACCAGCGCTACAAGCAGAGTAGGTCATCGGGTGGAGTCCTGGACTCTGCAGCCTCTACATCTGGCTCTGGGGGTGGCGCGTCGGCCACACCCAAGGAATCAGTTGGTAACGACCCGCCCCAGTCAACTTATGTTTTCGACAAGACACGTGACCGTTCGCCTGCTTATGATACTACCCGCACGACTGATCTTTGTCAATAGGTTGATCGAGAGCGTCACTCAGCCACCCCCGTTACGACGGGACCGGCTCGTGACGAGGACCATGAGGGGACTATGGTCCCCAGTCGGTCCGTCTCTCGTCCTACCAACGACGATAGGTCGACAGTGAACACGGATCCCACTCTACAAGTCGTTCCCGCCCCGGGACGACAGGTCGAGGGTCTTGTCGAGAGACAGTAAACGACACCAGGACGTTCGTCGCCTTCGAGGTCGTCAGGAGTTTGATTCGGACGATAACTACGATGGGGATCGTACTTCTACAGTAAGAGATCGTAGCCCTCGCCCCCACGGGGACGTGCGACGGGTTTTTGGGAGATCAGCGTCGTAGAGATAATGATCGATCGTCACCCTTGTCTCACTTTCATATCGACCTGGCTTTGATAGCCCAGATCACGACGGCGGTACTCGCCTCGACAGCGTCGACCAAGAAGGATTCGACTACGTCAGAGGTCCATGGACCATCAACCAGTACACCAGTACCTTCATCTACATCTACACAATCGACGTCGACGATGGATTGTGACGACAGCCTGGCTATGGCTTGGCTATCTCACTTTTCTGCCTGAGTTATCAAAAGATGATGACAAACCGACGTGTGCTGGCTTTAAGGTTGGAGATACACCGCAGTCTCTTCAGTCTTTTCCTCCCAATGTCTTCAGAGACATGGCTCACGATATGGACCAGAACTTGCCTCTGCTCTCCCGGGGCAGAGTTTCAGCAAACCACCTGTTCGATCGCGTTACCCGATCTATGGCATGCATTTTCGTCACCCATGAGTAGGGACTTGGATTGGGGGCTACTCTTCAAGAAACCAGCGCCCTCCAAGATTCTTGTAGTAGACAGGCATTGGGGATCCATGGACACTGCTTTTCGTCACCAGCTACAACCGCTTGCTATGCTGTCGACAGCGAGCCAGCGGGGGAGGTAGTGAGGTCTACTACCTTTAGGTGAACTACCAGAAGGGGGAAGACTTCATCACACGGATCATGAAGACGGTCGAAGAATGGCTCCATCGGCAGGCGATCAGGGTCGCCTTCTACCTAGACGAGCCGTCTCCGAGGGGCGACATGCTCACTAAAATACCGGAATTGCAGAAAATTCTACGTGCCTTCATGGTTGAAGATGAGTCACATTAATTCCGACTGCCGGCCTGGGACCTCGATATCGTTCTGCGCTACATGTCTAGTTAGACTTACGAGCCTCTCGATCAGGTCGCCTTCGACATTGTCTCAGACAAGAAGTACTGCTCGTAATTTTTAGTTACCTTGTATACTGCGAGTTGCTCTGTAACTAAATTATGCGCCGACCACACTTCGATCGCAATTCAACTGACGTGTGCAATTTTCTTGTCGCATCGATAATTAGTTGTGTGTCGAAGAGCATTAACCATGCTATTTTTCGTTACCTTGGATACGACGAGTCGTTCTGTAACTACATTATAAGCCGACCACGCTTCGATCGCAATTCAACTGACGTGTGCAGTTGTCCTGTCGCATCGATACTTACTTGCGGGTCGAAGAGCATTAAACATGCTATTTTAGTTACCTTGTATACTGCGAGTTGCTCTGTAACTAAACTATACGTCGACCACTTCCATCGCAGTTCAACTGACGTGTGCAGTTGTCCTGTTGCATCGATCCCTACTTGTTGGTGGAAGAGCATTAAACATGCTGTTTTCGTTACCTTGGATACGACGAGTCGTTCTGAAACTAAATTATATGCCATCCACACTTCAATCGCAATTCAACTGTCTTGTGCAGTTGTCCTGTCGCATTGATAGTTACTTGTGGGTCGAAGAGCATTAAACATGCTGTTTTAGTTACCTTGTATACTGCGAGTTGCTCTGTAACTAAACTATACGTCGACCACTTCGATCGCAGTTCAACTGACGCGTGCAGTTGTCCTGTCGCATCGATAATTAGTTGTGTGTCGATGAGCATTAACCATGCTGTGCGTTCGTGATAAACAATTTGTCTCGTCCGTGCATCTGGTCGAATGTTCTATTGTCACTACAGGGGTGAGGAACTTTCGACATTCGACGTGAAAGAGGTCACTTCCTGATTGTTTTCCCGACCCTCCTTCCAGTGTTCCGTCGAATTCTACCCATTTGTACGACTGAAAACAGACTAAAACATGGGTTTTTCAGATTAAAAACGATGTTTTATTGGTCTGTTTTAAGTCGTACGTTCCCACCCAGCCGTCCCCACAGGGAAGTAATCCAGTCCAGTCCTGCTTGATGGCTTATTCTTCGAGATTTGTGGCATGTCATAGGGAGGTGCGTGCGCAACCGGACGGAAACAAGTTTATTGTTTACATTCCAGCTTCTGGCTTCCTTTTAACGTGCGACTAGAGGTATGAGATAAGTTTATGTCAATCACTCGTAATCTCATGTGGGGTTTAAATATCAAGAACTTTATGAACATGATGTGAGTATTTTGTTTGATTTCAGCCTTCTGATTGAGGAACTGCGAAAAACATTATGTGCTCTCTGGCAGGGCACCAAGGCTGCCATTTCTCCAGAATCACTCTTCACAGTCATCTGGAAGGTGGTGCCACGCTTCAGGTACACTACACCACTGCTGTCATTGTCGGTGCTGGGAGAATCTCGGCTTCTTCACCACACCACAAATATTGTCTTGGCAATTAAATGTGTTGAGTCTTGCATTTCAAACTTGACGAAGCCACATTAACATTTTAGGAGCCACATTGATTTAGGCTTGCCAAATATTTATGTTTAAAATTAGAATTTAAATAATAAGACAAGAAAACATTCCAATTGTTCTAATGTGTCTGCACAACAGACTTTGGAAACTTGCTGCAATAAAGGAGGGGTGAAATGATACATTGGTGCATCAGTGCCCCAGTGTATCGTGAGTTTTCGTATGACGGTACGAAACCACGTTACATATTTTTCTGTATTGATACAAAACAATACTCTTGCTGGCAGAAATAGCCATAGTTTTGTTATTCCTGTCATCTTTCTGTGATGGATAGTTTGGCTTAGCGAGCGCTCTTGAAAACAAGATGTTGATACAGACAAGTAATGTTCTACTCAAGGTTCTTTCAGTAAGGGAAATATGTTAGTTGCTAAGCTAATGTTATTACTGGGAGCCAACTGCCAACCAAACAATTAATATAGGTCGCAAAATAGTAATTTAGGTTGCAAATGCAGCCAAATTGGTCACTACTTGTCTTAACGAAGTACAATAGAACATGGATATAATGAACTACAAGGGACCAGAGAAATCAGTTCATTATTATCCCCCGCCGCGCGAAAGCGCGAAGCGGGGGATATAGTATTCACGACCGTCCGTCCGTCCGTCCGTCCGTCCGTACGTCCCACCTGTTTGTTGCCGCGATATCTCAAGAACTAAACACTGGATTGTCTTCATATTTGGAACTATGGTGTATATACAGACTCCGCAGACACCAGTCAGTTTTGGTGACCTTGACCCCATTTTAAAGGTCACAGCAGGCATATCTGCTTTTGGAGTTGGAAAACAGTGTTGCCGCGATATCTCAAGAACTAAACACTGGATTGTCTTCATATTTGGAACTATGGTGTATATACAGACTCCGCAGACACCAGTCGGTTTTGGTGACCTTGATCCCATTTTCAAGGTCACAGCAGACAAATCTGCTTTTAGAGTTGGAAAACGGTGTTGCCGCGATATCTCAAGAACTAAACACTGGATTGTCTTCATATTTGGAACTATGGTGTATATACAGATTCCGCAGACACCAGTCGGTTTTGGTGACCTTGATCCCATTTTCAAGGTCACAGCAGACAAATCTGCTTTTAGAGTTGGAAAACGGTGTTGCCACGATATCTCAAGAACTAAACACTGGATTGTCTTCATATTTGGAACTATGGTGTATATACAGACACCGCAGACACCAGTCGGTTTTGGTGACCTTGACCCCATTTTCAAGGTCACAGCAGGCAAATCTGCTTTTGGAGTTAGAAAACGGTGTTGCCGCGATATCTCAAGAACTAATCGCTGGATTGTCTTCATATTTGGAACTATAGTGTATATACAGACACCGCATACACCTGTCAGATTTGGTGACCTTGACCCCATTTTCAAGGTCACAGCAGGCAAATCTGTTTTTGGAGTTGGAAAACGGTGTTGCCACAATATCTCAAGAACTAATCGCTGGATTGTCTTCATATTTGGTACTATGGTGTATATGGCGGGGGATATTTCGTCACTCTGTGAAATACTTGTGTCCGTTGTTTTTTTTCCCACCATCTTGGATAAAACAAAACACAATACACGTAATTGCAGCATTGACTTGTATCAGCAGTGATCACTTCATATCATTCAATTGATAACATTTCATTACATTCATTTAAGTTTAACAAGGTTGATCCGTCACTGCTGATTGTGTTGATTCACCGCTGATTGCGTACAACCAATTGTCAGTGACACTTGACACTGAGTGAGATTTCTTAGTTCGCTAAACACGTCACTAATTAGTGGTAGATGGGCTTGTCGGTGATCAGATATCAGTTCGCTGTATCTGTTAGTTCTCTGTATAGAGTTTGTTATATACATAAATTTTATATGATATTATATAGGAGATAAATCAGGGATTTTTTAACAGTTTGTTGTATCCGTTTGTTCGCACTGTCCGTGTTTGTTATATCCATGTTCTACTTTAGTTACCCCTTTGTTTGTTGTCATTGTTAGGGGCTGTATTTGTGGAATGTTGTAGCTAAGACATGGCTGTCGTCTAGTTGAGAATATATTTGCAACTACCATACCATGTCTGAAGTCAAGTCAGGGTGTCCCATAAAAACAAATTGTGACAAAATTACTAAACACTGTATCAAGTCCATTCAGCCTTTTGTATTGACTATGACCAGTGTGTTACATGAGTGTGTATGTGTTTAGAGGCTACCAACAGCAGGATGCCCATGAGTTCATGCGGTACTTACTGGACCGACTTCACACGGAGCTGCTGCAACTCCTTCCCTACCCAAACAACAACAGCCCCTACATTGGACCCAAGGGCAAGAGCACCATTGTCACAGCCATCTTTGGAGGGTTGCTGCAGAATGAGGTCAACTGTCTTATATGTGGGATGGAATCCAAAAAACATGACCCTTTCCTAGGTAGGGAATAAATGATCTTATGTTGGGTTTTTTTGTGTGATCAATCATCTTGTACTGACATATACTCGACATTAGTCTGAAACAGTATGGCAGTAGAAACAGTATGATAGAGTATTATGTTTTGATGTACATAGTAGTTCAGAGCTACAGATAAGCAGCTTTAAATCTTAAAATGTTCACTCGTATTGGGAAAAAACCAATAGAGTGATGAATAGATGAGTGAAAAAAAATGTAATAACCCAAATAAAAAAAAAACATGGAGTAAAAACTCAATTGCTCAAAAAGTTGTCTGGAGCTCTGGTAGTTAATGCTGTAATGTAATTTGTATTTGCATAGAATTTGTCGGATATCACCTGCTGTGTGTTGACTCTGTTGCAGACCTTTCCTTAGATATCCCATCCCAGTTCTGTACAAAAACAACAAAACCTAAAGAAGGAGAACCCATGTGTACATTGTCAGGTAAGAACACAATTCTACGTCTGATTGCATTTTGTTTCTCCATAAATTTGTACAACATCTGGTGGCTGTTGGCTTGAATTCATGATTAGGCTCAACAAAGATCCTTGTAATATTGGCATCTTCCCTGCACTCACCTACTTCAGGTTATGGGTTAGAATAGGCAACCTATGTTTGTCATAAAATTCAACTAAATGGGGGTCACACTCGTGGCTTGGTTGATAGCCATCATACTCTGATAGTGTTGCTCATAATATCAATCACTTGTTTGTCAGGTCAGATTCAGCGCTAAGGAAACACACATCTGCTCATTGGTTTCACCAAAGTGTGTATGCCATGATATGACTGAAATTCTTACAAAACAGTGTTGAGCCTATGCCACTCACTATCTGTGCATCACTTGGATATTTTAGCGACCTTTCACAGAGTTGCTTAGTTTTATAAAGTGTCTCAAGCTTCAGATGGTGTAATATTCTAACCTGATTAAACCTCCATATTTTCCAATATATGTGCTGACATGAGGCTAGATGGCACACAAAAGCCAATGATTCTGTCTCCCGTATTGATGGAGATGCTGTATTTGTAGACTGTCTGTCCAGCTTCACCGATGTGGAGGAACTAGAGGAGTCGGAGCTGTACATGTGCAGCAACTGTAAAATGAAACAGAGGTCCACTAAGAAATTCTGGATCCGCAGGTTGCCAAATGTTAGTATCCATCTATGTATTTACAATCTGCTGTTCATGTTATTTCTTCAGGAGGATTAGGATGCAAACAACGGCTGCTCCTAACAGATGTTATCAGTCTGCATCTCACTGAATGATTCTGTCATGTGATTAGCTGACAGTGAAGGTTATGCCTTCTGAACACAAGTTAACATTACTGTAGGATATTCAGTTGACTTTTGCCTTTAGGTAGGATCTCCAATTAATTAATTGCAATTCCTGTCAAAGTTAAAGGTTACCAAAGATGACACTGTTGCCCTTGGTGTGCACCTAATGATTGTTCATTTCAGTTTACCTGATAGCAGTTACCTGAAGTATTTTGATAAATGTGTCTTCTTCATGTCAGAAGTGAAGATCACTGTCAAGTATTTTGCTGCATTTTGTAAAAATCCTTTCCATATTGAACAGTTAATGCTTATTTACCATCAGATTACTGATCTTTTTTTTTTGTAGAATGTAAGGGATATGAGGTGATACCAACATAATATTGTTTGGTGAAAAGAAAGATGTATTTCTAAGCTGCTAGAAAATCTCAGCAACCTTTTACAAAGGCAAAAACTGAATCAGTGTAAGAGTGACAGGACATGCCCCAATGCATGAATAATGTTTTTACATGGTGATAAGCTTTGTCCATCATATAGTTAGACCATGCACTTTGAGTGAGCTCATGTACCTTTGGCAGTCTTTGGATGAATAGGTTTTTGAAAAGTTGGAAACACAGTACAAGAAATGAAGATAGAAAGCAGTATAATTTAAGATCATTGAAACTTGTAATTCACTGTCAGGTATCTTTATGGACTAATGTTTCTATTTTTAGGTATTATGTCTACATCTGAAGAGATTTCGATGGAGTACATACTGTCGAGTGAAGTTGGAGACCTATGTTGACTTCCCTCTCCGAGGACTTGACATGAACAGATATGTGTTGAACACACTGGTGAGTGCTGCTGTGCAACTGAGAAGTGACATCTGATAATTAATAAAAATATTTTTAGTCAACTGTAATTGAAACCCCAAGACTTGAAATAATTTGCTTTGATCTGTATGATAGTTGTTGCTGTGATAAATAATTTACTCCCTTGTGTTGAGAAACGAAAATTGAAAAGTGTTCTGCTGAGGAGGTGGCCTTTCGGGATTCCCACAATAATTCATTGAATGGTGCAGAATACTTACACCCAGTGGGTCATCGGGTGCATTCATGTAGCTAGTGTTATTTTATATAATTTTGAGGGATTTCTGACTGTCTCTAGTATATTTTACATCTCTCGTACAGCTGTTTCAATTATTTAATGTAAACTTCCTGTTTTGCATTGCCTTATACCTTATGCTTCTGAGCTCTCCAAATGGTCCAATCAGAATCAAGCCTACACATTTTTGCAAATAAAGTAGTCAAATGGACAATTTCATTTGGTCTTTATCGTAACTAATACATAATGACTGAACAGGAAAATCTGATAGCAGACATCCAGAAAAGATTCAGAGGTAGATCAATTTTAAATTTCTTTTCGTTGTTAACACAGCTTAAACCGTCTTCTGATAATGCCAAAGATGTTTCTGCTTGGAATGACCCTGGTATTGAAGAATCGCCAACCACAAGTAACGTTAGCGATACACAGATTGTTTCGCATGGCGCACCTGACAGTGAAAGACTGAGAAAGGTAGAGATTTATAATGAACCGGGCTTCGCGACTACATGTGGTTGGTGCATAACTCAGAAAGAAATACTATGATATGTCTGCTTTGTGTACATCATTCATTTCACTTACAGAGCTAAATTCTAATTTTAGAACTGGTAACTTGAAGAGAAATGCAGTTTCCCATCTTCCTGAGGCAAGGGAGTTCACTGACTTTAATTAATCCAGTTTCCACCCTTGCTGAACTAGTTTGGAATTATGGAGTTATGTTTGGCTGGACTAACGAGTCTGTGCATAGACCAACCAAAATCATGTAACAAAATTGACATGCGGTTCGTAAACTGCTGCAGATTTCGGTCGATTGCATGATTGCAAAGCAACCAACTCGGCGTCAACAGACATTTTCCAAATCTTTTCATGTTTTTAATCAAGGTGCGTGCATGATTTGATGCACTTTGTGAAGTACGATCTGTTTTATCACAATATAGATTTTAATTATCAATCAGATCATCTTGACTGCCTGCCTCCATTTTGTCTAAAGCAAATGCAAGTGATCTGATTAGTCAATAGGATGATGGACATAACTCGTAATAGCCACTGGTGGCGCTACAATCAAGCACAGAAATTCCAGCCTTGTTCGGCAAGGGTGGAAACTGGACTTTTACTGTCAGTTAAGTCCCTTGCCTCGGGAAGATGGCAGTTATCACAAGCAAGCTATTGAGACTATCTGGATGAAATCTGACGTTTCTGCAATATATAATGTTATGTCTGTGAAAGAAGCCATGCGAAACATTCTGTGTAACACTAACATTACTTACCTGCATATGAGGTTTCAAGTTTTATATGATTTCTCAGAGTGTAGCCCCATAAGTTTTAAAAATTACGTTCTTTTTTATGTTGAAGGGGACCCTGTCCCCTCTTGTTCTATTCTTGGCAGAACACTGCTGGACATCTTATATGACTGGAAATGTTTATTTTGCAGCATGAAACACGAGGTAGTTGTGCTGGAAGCAACATGTATGACTTAGCAGCAGTCATTGTACACCACGGGTCTGGGTGAGTTGACAAATAGGTTATTCTTGATCGTACATGATTTCCTGTAATAGTTATAGGTAACAACAGCCTTCTCAAAATCAAGGCCAAAACTGACTTGTGTGGGTGTTTCATTTCCAACCATATGGGAGACATGTTCCTGGACAAATAATGTAAAATTCAGTTTGTAAAATTCAGTTACAGGTGGGATGAGTTGGGTATTGCATTTCCTCACCCCTTTAAGCAGCTCTCACACTTTGCTGAGGTGGTTGCCGAGCTCTCCCGAGTCTAACTCGCTACGAGTGTGTTAAGAGCCCCATAGGAGTCCAATAGAAGTTGCATACGAGCATAACAATCTCGATACAAGCTTTACGACTTTGGTACGAGGTGGCTACGAGCTGTTAAATAATTTGGCGTGAATTACACTCGTATAGCTCGTATTAGACTCGGTCAACTCGGCAATAAATTTTGCAGACGATCCAAATACGATTTCTGTATGAGCACCACAAGGTGGCCACAAGGGTACTATGAGTAGGACAAGTGTTACGAGTGTGTTACAAGTTTCTTAGGAGTTGGCTGGCGGCCCAAATGTTTTGAGCAGTTCCAAAACACTCATAGATCAGTACGAGGTATCCCGAGTTATCCCAAGTTTAGTACGACCTCGCTACGTGCTCCATACGAGTACCCCCGACTCAGCTCGGGTCCATACTTGGGATGCAACTCGGCAAAGTGTGAGAGCCCCTTTAGGCCTTGTCCTCTCCCATCTCTCTACCTCTGTATACCAACAGGTTACAGAGTAACACAGAGAGTAGCTGCATGGATGCTGAGTTTGACAAATTGTTTTCCCATAAGATGAATACTTCTGTGGAAAAGATTTGCATGTACTTCTTTACAAACTATTGAATAGGATTGAGGATGTAGACATTGACTGTACCTACAAAAACGTCATCTTTCATCTTTCAATTCCAGGGCTGGGTCAGGCCACTACACAGCTTATGCTATCCATGATGGTGAGTTGTCTCCCTTGATTCTTAAAATTAATATTTATTTATGTTATTTTGCAGAAATAAGCCAATTTAAAAGCAGATAAATATTTAAATTAAAGCATTAACGTCAATCAGATTTGTGTCTACTCGTGAAAGGCCCCGATTTTAGGTTCTTCAGTACTTGTTTGATTTACACATGCTTGACAAAGAACAGAATTACCTCTTGTATTGAAATGTATGTTTGACTTTGCAGGACAGTGGTATCACTTCAATGACAGCACAGTGACAGCATGTGATGAGGAAACTGTAGCTCGCTGTAAAGCCTACATCCTGTTCTATGTCCGACGAGAAATCAAGCTGCCAGACTATCTGCTGAATGGCAGTGCCAATAACTAGTTCCCATGACAACGGGTGTGTGGCCTATGTTGGAAGGATGTGTTTCTGCACAGTGGAATGCTGGAATTACCTGATCAAGGAAATATGACACCAAAACTCTTATCTGACTTTTCACTCTCTGCTAATGTTCACATGAGTATCATGTTTTCTTGAGTATAGTGCACATATTTTGCCCCGAAAATACAGCCTTGTAGGGGGGATGCGCATAATTTCAACAAAAATTATGTTTTATAATAATATTGGGTCTTTTTAACTGAATCCCTGTACATCTGGGAGAAAATCTTTATAGAGCTGATCACTATTTCTGGCTTATTTTACCAAGAAAATTACACACAGTTATTTTGATCTCTTGTTATAAAACAATGCTTAGCAATGCAGAAAAAATACAATTAAAATTGTAAATCGTCATGTCAAGTGAACAAGTTTGTTGTCCCCTCTTCATTCACCTGAAGCGATACAATGTACTTTGACTGTGCACAGATTATGAAAGGGCAATTTTTTCTGAAACTGGTACCCCAAAATGGGGGTTGCGCTTTATGCCCAAGTGTGCACTATACACAAAAAAATATCGTATTGTTTAATTCAGACCTCAATTGTCACCAAACTGGTGAAAATATTGGGGGGAGGTGTTATGTCATCTCAAAATGATAGTTACTGTGAAGTTCCGTTCTATTTGGATATAAGCATGTAAGTCTTTCTGTGCCCTCAAGCCTATATATATTCCACTACAATACTGTGATACAAAACACCTCCCCAACCCCCTCAACACTGACCACCTTATATGGTCCAACAGGTCAGATTTACACTAGATATCCAATTGCCATTGAAATGTGCTATCTTTGAGAATTATGTGTTCTGTGTAAAGTGGTGTTTGTGTCATCTTGTCTTCAACCCTGGCACAGTAGGGAAAGAACGGTGACTTCATGTGTGATCTATGCTGTGGTATTGCTGTGATGATCACACTGGCTTATTGATGCCATGCTGGTTTCCATGACAACACATGTAATCTCTTCATTCCTTGCTTTGCTGGCCATCGCATTCAGTTACTGAAACATCTCTGCAAGAGACTGGCAGGTACTATCAAAGACCATCTTCGTGCAAATGCCTGTTCCATATATTCTCTATGTGGTCACAAGGAATTGATAATGTATATTGGATATGCTTATCTGTCATGGTGAAGCAATGCCTATATCTAAAGTTCAGATCACCACCCTGTTACGCAGGTCAGACATCAGATCTGTACCGGACCAAGTCTATTGCATTTGTATTGGAATAGTGAGTGGTTATCTTGCAGCTTCAGCTAGAGACCTCCCTACAGTTAAATGGCCAGCACTCCATTCCACAAAGCGATGTTAGCAATATAACTATTGTAAATCTATGTTAAAGGGTGGTAGTTATGATTACCAAAGGGCGAAGATCGCTATGTGGAATGGGGCTGTGCATGGTCTTCATTCCATGAAGCTATCTTTATTTCACTACTATCATAAACATGGTAAGGTAAAGCGATTTTGAAAGTTGTTGCTGGATTGATACAGGCAGTTTTGGAAAGAAGATAAGGTCTTTGTGATGGTGATCCGATCAATGAATTTACCATAAGTAATTACTTTGTGTTGTGTCCTTCAAGGCTGTTTACTTAAGAGATGTCTGTTATGTAATTCAGTTGCGGTTGGTAGTGCAGTCTGTTAGTGCTATGTTGTTTCATGGGCATGTTCTGGTAAAGTTGTAAATTTGTTTCAAGTCCAATCTCTAAGTTAATTTGATAAGCACAAGCTTTTGCACAGAGTTGAACTCTTGTTAAAGCATTGTTGTTGAAAGGTTGAAGTTCGAATGATATCATTAAGCCTGTGAAGCTAGGCTTTATTTCAGTAACTATGGCACTGTAGCCATTCAGCAGCTATAGTTGTAAGCACATCATCAAATGGCATTTATTTCCTCTTTCATTTAGTTATCAGTTTATCTTTAACGTTTGCTATTTGTTCTTTTCAGACAATAGTGTTGGTTTTTACTGGTAGTTCATATATGCTATTTATGATGTTAGTTTTTAACATTGCAACAAACTGTGTCCAACTATATTGACTACCTCTTTTTAGTGCTTAGAAACAAAGATCTTTATTTTGTTTAAGATATATTGACTGATGGGGGGCTGAAATTGATACAGAAGCAAGATTGTCGGGTGTGATAGTTCAATATTAGACTGACCGACAGTTGCTGTACACAACTTAACTCTTAATGATAGTTCAAACATTGCATTGTCAGTTTCTTATTAATAATTAAAAACTAATATATTATGTTACGTATAATTCTCGAGTTAATGTTCTACTGTTACATATTTTTGTCTTCTTCTTTTGTTTATTTTTAGTGGAACTTGTTTTTGGCTACAATGCAAGTGATTTAAACCAAAAGACAAAACCCAATCATTTACTGTTGCCTTTCTGATAATAAAATTGCATTAATAATTCCTGGCAGAGAAATGTGAAAACTGTTGAGGTATTCTGTCAGTTGGTAGTAATGTGACATATCAGGTGTCCCCAGACCCCCCCGAGTTTCAGGGTTACATGAGCAGGCACTGCCCATAGTGCAGACATGGGCTTGATGGATGTTGTATATACGAAGTAGCTCCCAGTGAGAGAACGAGTCAAGGCTGTATTGGAGAAGTGTGATTGCTTTATGTGTATATGTCTGTGTCTGAATGGAAGGCGGCAACACCTCAATCATCAACATACTTGAAGCTATACAATAGCTCACAGATACTCTTCATGACTATCAAACATTCTGGTTGCTTTTAAAACGTTTGGGGTGGCCAGTCATGTGCAGCTAGTTGCATAACTGTCTCATTTGGACAGGCGGTTTTAACTGTGGAGATAGTATACATCTATACATCTGTTGGAAGCACATCTCTGTCCACTCTGTAGCTATGAGTAGCAACCAGGGGTTTTCAGTAATGGGGAGCTTTTCAGGCTATTGTATCCACTGGTACATTAACACTGTGTCCCTATTCCCCATATAGATCTATGTATGTGACCTGTATTGTGTTATAACACCTGCCTGAGGGAATGGGTTATATACTGTATTTTATGCAGTAAGCGCTCGGAAGCTTTAATGTGAGGAACAATCATTCCTTGTTGCAGGTTTCCATTCAGTATTTTTAAGTATTTGGTGAATGTAGAACCTGCAACATCACGGTCTAGTTCTGAAAAAATGTTGCCTTACAGTACTCACTTGTATGAAGTTCTATGTGGACAAGCCTAAATTGTTTGACTGCTTTCAGTGAAAGACTGCTTTTGAGCGCTTATTATTGAAAATACATCATCAGGGACATTTGTAAACAACAACTTTAAAGTATTATTGTCTACTATGAAATAAGTAATATTTTGTCTTATGTTTTTCAAAGGAGTAGCGACAGAGCTAATATTTGCTGCATACATGTTCGAATATATGGCGTGTGATAGGATGTGTCATATTCACCAGTGTATCATATAATCCCACCATCATCAACTGAGACCGTGGTCATCAGACAATGTTTACATTTGTCAGGATAGCTAGTCACGCAGCTGACAAGTGTACATTTCATTGACACCATAGCGATTCCACAACTCGTCATGTACCTTAAGATCAACAGTATGAAGAGTTTATCTAGCCAATCCTGAAATCCTCATACTAGAAAACAGGGAAATGTTTTGAAATCAACATTTAGCAGTTTGGTTATGCTATGCAAAATTCCTGCTTTTTATGGGAATCATTGATAAAAGAATAGTTCTAGTTTGAGTGCAATGGTTTATTTTTGTGAATTTATTTGGAATCAATTCAACTACCAGATTATTTTGAAGCAAGGATTGTTATGTTGATGAGGCGTGGCAGTGGCTATACGAGGGATGTTGATGTGGGTGCTTGTATCATCAGTAGCTTGACTGAGTGTATGTTGTGGGGGAGGGAGGGGTGGCTAGCTGCCACCTCTTCCTACACGTGTCTGTCTGTATATAGCCTTCTCCCTGCTGTATTTGACCAGGTTTTGTGTGGATTGGTTGGCAACCTCATCGATTGGGGTAGCTTCACCATCTGTCTGTATGCCCGGGCTGGGCTCGGTACTGGAGTGCATGTTGATCATATGAATAAAGGTGATGAATCAACTTGTCATTTGTGTTTTTGTTAACATTGTTGTTTTCAGTTTAGTCACTTGTCAAACAGTTGAGAACAATTTGTTTTTGGTATCGAATGAAGGAAAACTTTCCGATCTTTTGCTATTCCCAACTCTAAAAAGGTAAGAATTAGGGCCGGGTATTGGCCAAAAATATGTATTGCGATACGTGTTCGGATCAGCACATCAGATTTACTTTCCATGAAGTAAATATTATGATGTCAAAGTCAGTGTGGCCATTTTGTAGTCATAGATACAGGGGAGATAACATAAGAAAAATCACTTCCGCCATTTAGTGAATGACTTCTGTGTCGATATTAAGTTAAGCGATACAAATAATAGCAGAACTTGTATTATTGTTAGAAAAGCGTATTGCAGTCCCGAATGTGGCCGCTCGGCATCAACAAAAGAAAAGTAGAACATTTCAAAATTTGTTTAATCATATTTGAAACCTTGATATAAAATGCATACATGTCTTAAGACACTGCTCAATCAGACTGAACATACAAACATATGCCATTTAGTACAATGCCTGTTCATTGGGGTTGTCCCAATTGACATGTCAATTAGTGTATACAGCTGAAATTTGCTTGAGACACGATCAGATTCAGAGACTCCTGTTCCACAAGACAGTGGAACAACATCGGTAAAATATTGCAGATTGTTTATCGTTAATGTGGCCAGTGGTCAGTGGCCCTTGGTTGTTTTTGCTGGCCTTGTGGTCTGATTGGAACAACTGGACAGTGGTATCAGCCTTTCCCAGTGCATTCCGATACCCTTATACATCCTACAGTTGGACCATCAGCAGTCAGTACATACCAAGAACCAGCAAGACCTCATGGAAAACAAGCATCTTCTTACTAACAATAGTGGGTTGAAATAAAAACAACTCGGCTAGTAGCAGTCAGGAAGGACTCGGGACATTTCCTTGTTGGCTTACACTTTTATCATTAGACAAATGGCAACTCTATATCAGATCATTTATGTGGACGAGTGAAAATAATAATAAATAAATTTCTAGCTCTGCAATAAGATTTACATATAAGGTGGACTGATGAAGGCTTGTGTTCGAGAAAACATAATACTCTGTGAATTAGTTTTCACTTGATTCAGCATGCATCCCAGGTGATGGCTGTGCCCCCAACATAGTATTCAAGTGGAATCACATATACATGTTAATGACCCTTTTTGAATTTTGTGTGTGGACATCGAGTACTAACATGTTTATAAACAATACATACATCTGATGTATTGTCAATATGTGTTTTTCATACACCTCTATAATGCTGACTGGTGCGTGTGTAAAAGAGTAAATGTTTGTTTAGAAAAAATATATTTTGTTCTATAGCGAGAGTTCCTCTCCTGCCGATGCAGCGTGAGTACCACAGTTAGTGATGTTTATGTGCGAGGGAAATGGTGGTGACATTCAAGTTGATTCAGTCTCTGAATACAGATTATTTTTTAAAAACAAAATTTCCCATCTAAAAACCAGACAAATATTATAGACGTGAACTTCATAATGATTTCAAAATAGTTAAAAATGCACAAATAAAAGATTTTCATTTTGGAAGTATTTAATTCCTAGCAATTGAGTTATATTCCATTATACTAGGGAACACCATAAGTCTGTGAAATCTAAAACTAAACTTTATTTTTATTAATGAAAGTTATTCTGTTCCTTTTGTTGTAAAAATGATATCCTACTTTCCAGAGAAACCATAAATCACTGATTACAAAATGGTACTTCTTTTTCCATTTAGAGGCCTTCTCATCAGGGTTAGAACTTAAGGCTAGCCCGGGGCTAGTACACCATACTGTGCAAATGTCCCCATTTTAACATTACAAGGATAGTTCACCTTTACCCAGGCTTGTAAAGCTTTTGAGTTAAGTTCTAACCTTGCTCAAAGTGATCAAAGAATGATAGACCAGCCCTGATTCATTTGTTACTTGCGTAGCTCGATGAAAACAAGCAGGACAGGCTTCCCTACAAAGTGGAGTGTTCACCATGTCCATATGAAGAAGGCAGGCTGGAAGGTTTATTTGTGACAAACTGTTTTTGTAACCAATTCAACACCTTCCGGCTGAGGCTTGTATTTTACCATCTCAGAGTTACAGAATGTACACATGTATGGCATTCATATTAAGATTGCTGGGTACAAAAGGGGGTGTATCAACAGACAAATAAATTTTTCGTAAAAGAAAAAGCTAAAATAGTCCGCCGAAGCTGAAGTGGACCAGTTGATTACAATGGTGACTAGACATGAGAAGGTATCAGGTTGTATGCAGCTCGTAGCACAACATGACAGTTTTGTTTGTTTGTTTGTTTGTTGTTTTACGCCGCACTCAGCAATATTCAAGCTATATGACGGCGGTCTGTAAATAATTGAGTCTGGACCAGACAATCCAGAGATTGACATCATGAGCATCGATCCACGCAATTGGGATTGATGACATGCATCAACCAAGTCAGCGAGTACAGGACTTGCCATACTGTAACACGTAGCCACATGACAAATAACGAAACAGGTCTTAATACAACAGAAAAGACCACTGATCTACACCATCATTGAAGGTAGGAATTTCCATCACTGTCGCCCACATGACGGCATTATGACAGCATGGGGCTGGTAACGGACTTAACCTGGGTGTGTCAAGCACTTATACTACTTGGCCATCTCAACCACTTGGCTGGCTTAAAGGCAAAATTATTCACTTCCCTCCTGAGTAGAAGTTAGACATGTTCAGAGGAGGGCACATTGTCACATGACACAACATTGATGTAATCAGGTATGTTCACGTATTGATTGTTACATTGTCACCTGGAATGACGTAGATATAAACAGGTATATATTCACATATTGAGTGTTACATTGTATTACCTGACACAATATAGGGCCACACATTTTTTATTTTCGTCTCACAAGCCTGCCGCCCCTACTGAAATGCAGCTGGGAAAGAAATAAATGAAACAAAAATATATTTATTTTATTGTTTCCTGCTAGTAATATAGACCTTCATATAAAAAATAAAATGTTGTATATAAATTTCATGTCTACATCACTATCAGTGATTCAAGAAGCCAGCTGCAGTTTTAACTCCATGGGAGAATGACTTTTATATAAATAAATATATTATTGACTTAACTCTTTATTTTCATTTTGACCGAAAATTTTGTCAAAAAGCTGGAATAAATCTGTGAAACAAAATAAAAAAAGAGTGGCCTAGATGTAATCAGGTCTATTCACATAGTGATTGTTACATTGTGTTACCTGGCATCATATATAAACCGGTATTGTCACAAATAGAGAGTTACTAAGGTCATCTGACTATGACGCCTATATAAACATACAGAAACAAGAGGGAGGTGAATACTACTGTACGATAGTTGAGTACTTGTTAGGCGACCTGTATAAGGCTCAAATGTTGAGAGTATAGACTAATATTGATATGACAAAATAATTATATAATATGATTATGAAAAAAATGTTACAAGTGACGCAACGATATTCAGTATCAAGACTCCTGTACTCAAGGCCTCTTGTAGCAGGCTGATGTTTGCACTATGACCAGAGATAGTCTGTCATGATTAATTCGACTGAAACTGCAAGGGCGTCCCGTGGCCCAGTTTCCAGCCCAATCTATATGCTGGCATAGTAATACATGTGAAGTAGTCAGTGCACGAAATACTTACAATACAGGCCACAAGAAGTCCTTGTTTAATGGAGGAGGCTTATGAAGATAAAGTTATGAAAGTCAAGGTGCAGTGCCCTGTGTATTATGACACACTAAATGTTCGCAGTCTAGTTTTAACAACACTTCAGTACCTTACAGGAGCGAAAAAAACACCTCCAAAAAAACTTTCACCAGGACATTTCAAAATATTCATATTCATATTCATATTAAATTTCCTCAATTAGTACGCTTTTTTCAGTCTTAATATTTTCTCTGCAAACCTGACCCATTATTTTGGCACATGTATAGACCAATTAACAAATGGGTCTGGCTAAAGAGGATTACAACTGGTATTTTGTTCCAATCTAACAATGAACACAAACATAGTTTGATTACACATTTTCATTTTGATAATAAAAATAATAAAAAATATGATATTATCATCAAATGGAATTACAAAAATAGATACTATATATGACACAATGAAATCTCAGCTCCCCTCTCGCCCACAGCCTCCGGAATACTGCCAGAACAATGTGTATCTCCGTCAATGCCTACCTGAGTTAATGAGCTTACACACAATTAAATACTAAGGTAAGTATTGATACAGTATATGACAATACTGATTAAGTAGAAAACAAGACAAAAATAAATAATAACTTGTCCTATATAAGGTAATTGTTCTCTTGAGGATCAGTTCTATAGTTTCATGACATTGCTTTGAAAGAAATCGTCAGATCTTGACAAACTAAAGCCAGTAGAAGGCGATTCTATCAAAATATTTCATGAGAAAACAACATAATAAATTTCTATTGTTAATGAAATATTGCATTCAGCTCAGGTTGAATCTGTTTTAAGCTGGTCACAATGTGGTCTGTAAGTGTGTCTCAAACTGGATCGAGCAACATGCTTGGAGACTAATATCAACTGTATGAGTATTTAACACTGTGACACACAGGTGCAATGATGCTACAACCCTCTACAGCTGCAGGGACTACAAAGTATCCACTCTCATCATCTCAAACAAATCGCAACAATCATTCTGTATGACATTCTTATTGAAAACTCCAGGAAATAAATGTCTTGTGTAAACAAAGGCTTACTACTTGTCTTATAACAAAGTTCACATCTGAATCAGTTATGGGTCAGGATGAAGATCAGAGTTGTGTTAATCTGTTCAAAAGCAAACTTCCTCATGCATGGGCCGGCTTGGAAAAGAGTTTATTTCATGAACAGTATGCCATCCTCCCTCTTAGGCCATCAGTCCTTTTGGTCCTAAGTACTGAAAGATCTCCTTTAAGTCCCTCAGTGTTCAAAGATGCCCTTTAAAGCCATAAGTGCTCAAACACCCCCTTTAAGGCCCTCAGTGTTCAAAGATGTCCTTTAAAGCCATGTGCTCAAACACCCCCTTTAAGGCCCTCAAGGTTCAAAGATCTCATTTAAGGCCATAAGTGCTCAAACACCCCCTTTAAGGCCCTCAGTGTTTAGAGATTTCTTTAAAGGCCATAAGTGCTCAAAGATCTTCTTTAAGACCTTCAGTGATCAAAGATTCCCTTTCAGGGCATCAGTGCTCAAACACCTCCTTTCAGGTCCATAAGGCTTATTAAATATGTTGGGTGCATCAAACCTACATCTCCATAGAGTCGATCTACAGGATGTAGCTGCTGGTAATCCAATACAGGTGTAAGGTTTGTTTGCCTCCAACTGTTGTCCCTGTTTGCCCCAACACTGAGACCTCAACCAATGTCCCCACACCAACTACCAGGTAGGACAATGTGGATGTGCAGGACTTTGGAGTAGATTTATTAACTGAATCTTCATGGTCCCATTATAATGCCATTGACAGTCATATTACAGATCAACGTAACATATGTATAAAAGAAACTCTCTCTATAAAGAGGATATGTAAAATACTTAACATTGTTACATAATTTTGCAACAGCTTAAGTGTAAGAAATAGCATCATTGAACATAACATTATTAACAATTAGGTAGGGTAGGGTAACGTGAGGCTAAGGCATAAATTATACTTAAGATCTTAACCTACAATACTAATTCCCAGTGTCTCCAACAAGTCTGGTATCATATGAAAGTTCATATGGATAACAGTCACAGTTCATGGCAGTTTGGGGTACACACAAAATCCAAGAAAAAGATTAAATGTTCATTGATACCGAAGTGACAGTTTGACAGTCCTCTCCCATCAAGATAACATCAGATTTTTGTTGGAAGAAACTAAGTCATTAACAAACAAGACTTCACATGCAAACATGCTTGGTCACCATAGTTGTGTGGTCACTGCCTTGCAAGCTGGCCCTTGTTGATAGAGATTCATAACATTGTACAGTTTACCAGTGGATTTGTCAAACAGTCCTGTCACTGTCTCATCCATTTTACTCATAAACATAACCAACCCAGAGCTTCAGCATTGTGAGAAGTGAATGAGTGAGTGAGTTTGGATTTATGCCACTTTTAGCAATATTCCAGCACTATCACGGTGGGGACACCAGAAAAGGGCTTCATACATTGTCCCCATGCCTTGTGAGACAGAGGGTCTACCGCACCACTTTGAAAAGTATTTAAACTGTCCCAGCATGGTATATCAGCTTGAAAGTCCAAACTGTCACATTAGATATATGTTTACCACTTTGTTCAAATACACAGTCATTGTGCTGACAGACCAACAGTCCCAATAAGAGTGAATTCAGGATTTGAAACCCACACCGGATTATCTTAGTGGCTAAGGGATGCTTTCCCCAGGCCAATGTTTCTCATAAAATATGGTAAACTATTCATTACTATGGCACATAGACATATACTAGAATACAGAAACACACCAGGCCAACAACCCCACTGTTCCTGATACACACACCAGCATGTACAATCTATTCCCCCTCGGAACCCACACATACTGAACATGGATATCTATTTGAAAGAAAATATATTTTCTTAGTGAACATTCCCATATGTTAAGTAGACTCTCCTGTCTAGGAAACAACCCTTTGGAACACAAGAGTAATTTTTGTTTCAGACCATACTTCAGAAAAAATAAATAAGCATCATGGATTTCAACTATATGTCACAAAGCAGAAAACTTCTTTTGAAAACAAAGTTTAAAAACAAAACTGATTCATAAACTGAATGAGGTAATAATTAACATGAATAGAATAATGTATTAATAATGACACGTATAACATAGCTTGCACAGCCATCTTGTTTCAAAATTATTTACAACCTTAAAACAATCAGCCTCAGATCATATTCTAATATACTTCATCGTGGACACATTTAAGTTTGTTGAACAATATGAAATGCACCTCCCTTTATAAAACCCATGAAAACATAACCCTCTGAACATATTCCAGTGGAGTTCACCGTGAACACATTCAAGGAGTTCAGGTGACAAACATGAAGGGCTCCACCTATGATAAAACCTATTAACAGTTGATCAGTAAAATGAACTTCAGCAGAACATGTAAGCCCTGTTTCTGCCGGAAGAAGAAGGCCACACCACTGTACAATGAGAGTGCCCAACAGGCCCATGGCTAGCTGGTCGACTCTTTCTTCACTATAGAGACTATTTGTTCATGGAGCTCATACAGCTCTGTGATTTTATTTCCCAGCTGATTTTGTACTGAAAGGAGTTCCCTGGTGTCTGTGTCCTGGTTGACCTTGGTGTTGTTCAGAAGTCTCTGCAGGTCCTGGACCTTCAGGGACAGGCTGTGGTTCTCCTCCTCCAGGTTCTGTTGAAAACAATGCACAGGACGCGAATTCAGAATATTGGAGAATACACAAGACCTAAGATTTGAGTGGGTCTGTTGGCTGACTGCGAGGATCTGAGTGGGTCTATGGCTGAGTGCTAGGACCTGAGTGGGTCTATGGCTGAGTGCTAGGACCTGAGTGGGTCTATGACTGAGTGGGTCTATGGCTGAGTGCTAGGACCTGAGTGGGTCTATGGCTGAGTGCTAGGACCTGAGAGGGTCTATGACTGAGTGGGTCTATGGCTGAGTGCTAGGACCTGAGTGGGTCTATGGCTGAGTGCTAGGACCTGAGTGGGTCTATGACTGAGTGGGTCTATGGCTGAGTGCTAGGACCTGAGTGGGTCTATGGCTGAGTGCTAGGACCTGAGTGGGTCTATGGCTGAGTGCTAGGACCTGAGTGGGTCTATGGCTGAGTGCTAGGACCTGAGTGGGTCTATGGCTGAGTGCTAGGACCTGAGTGGGTCTATGACTGAGTGCTAGGACCTGAGTGGGTCTATGGCTGAGTGGGTCTATGGCTAAGTGGGTCTATGACTGAGTGCTAGGACCTGAGTGGGTCTATGACTGAGTGTGAGGACCTGAGTGGGTCTATGGCTGAGTGCTAGGACCTGAGTGGGTCTATGGCTGAGTGCTAGGACCTGAGTGGGTCTATTGGCTGACTGCGAGGACCTGAGTGGGTCTATGGCCGAGTGCTAGGACCTGAGTGGGTCTATGGCTGAGTGCTAGGACCTGAGCGGGTCTATGACTGAGTGCCAGGACCTGAGTGGGTCTATGGGTCAGTGCTAGGACCTGAGTGGGTCTATGACTGAGTTCTAGGACCTGAGTGGGTCTATAGCTGAGTGCTAGGACCTGAGTGGGTCTATGGCTGAGTGCTAGGATTTGAGTGGGTCTATGACTGAGTGCTAGGACCTGAGTGGGTCTATGGCTGAGTGCTAGGACCTGAGTGGGGCTATGGCTGAGTGCTAGGACCTGAGTGGGTCTATGACTGAGTGCTAGGACCTGAGTGGGTCTATGGCTGAGTGCTAGAACCTGAGTGGGTCTATGGCTGAGTGCTAGGACCTGAGTGGGTCTATGGCTGAGTGCTAGGACCTGAGTGGGTCTATGACTGAGTGGGTCTATGGCTGAGTGCTAAGACCCTAGTGGGTCTATGGCTGAGCGCAAAGACCTGGATAGGAGGAATTGCATAACCCAAGAGAATGCTCAAAGTAAGATATTGTGAGTTCCCTTTCCTGTGAATTGATTCAAGCATCATAAGTCAAATCACAGATCCAGTTAAAGTACACAAAGATCACACAAGACTCACCAAGGCAGAGTATAACCATACACTAGCACAGCCAGAACATCATACCATCTCCAGAACCATCTGTGTGCTATCAGTGTTAAATGAAGGCCCATTGAGTTATATTGTTAAGTACAAGGCCTCCCTACGACTACACATACCTGTATTCAAGCCTCCCTACCATAACACGCACCTGTATACAAGCTTCCCTACGACTACACGTACCTGTATACAAGCCTCCCTACCATAACACGCACCTGTATACAAGCCTCCCTACCATAACACGCACCTGTATACAAGCTTCCCTACGACTACACGTACCTGTATACAAGCCTCCCTACCATAACACGCACCTGTATTCAAGCCTCCCTACCATAACACGCACCTGCATACAAGCTTCCCTACAACTACACGTACCTGTATACAAGCCTCCCTACCATAACACGCACCTGTATACAAGCCTCCCTACCATAACACACACCTGTATACAAGCTTCCCTACGACTACATGTACCTGTATACAAGCCTCCCTACCATAACACGCACCTGTATACAAGCTTCCCTATGACTACCATACCTGTATACAAGTCTCCCTACGACTATGCTTACCTGTATATGAGTCTCTCTACGACTAGAAGCACCTGTATACAAGCCTCCCTACGACTACACATACCTGTATACAAGTCTCTCTATGACTACACGTACCTGTATACGAGTCTCTCTACGACTACACGTACCTGTATACAAGTCTCTCTAGACTACACATACCTGTATACAAGTCTCTCTACGACTACAAGTACCTGTATACGAATCTCTCTACGACTACAAGTACCTGTATACGAGTCTCTCTACGACTACACATACCTGTATACAAGTCTCTCTACGACTACACGTACCTAGATACAAGTCTCTCTACGACTACACGTACCTGTATACGAGCCTCCCTACGACTACACGTACCTTTATACAAGTCTCTCTATGACTACACGTACCTGTATACGAGTCTCTCTACGACTACACGTACCTGTATACAAGTCTCTCTACGACTACAAGTACCTGTATACGAATCTCTCTACGACTACAAGTACCTGTATACGAGTCTCTCTACGACTACACATACCTGTATACAAGTCTCTCTACGACTACACGTACCTAGATACAAGTCTCTCTACGACTACACGTACCTGTATACGAGCCTCCCTACGACTACACGTACCTGTATACAAGTCTCTCTATGACTACACGTACCTAGATACAAGTCTCTCTATGACCACACATACCTGTATACGAGTCTCTCTACGACTACACGTACCTGGATACAAGTCTCTCTACGACCACACATACCTGTATACGAGTCTCTCTACGACTACACGTACCTAGATACAAGTCTCTCTATGACTACACGTACCTGTATACAAGCCTCCCTACGACTACACGTACATAGATACAAGTCTCTCTATGACTACACGTACCTAGATACAAGTCTCTCTATGACTACACGTACCTGTATACGAGCCTCCCTACGACTACACGTACCTAGATACAAGTCTCTCTATGACTACACGTACCTAGATACAAGTCTCTCTATGACTACACGTACCTAGATACAAGTCTCTCTATGACTACACGTACCTGTATACGAGCCTCCCTACGACTACACGTACCTGTATACAAGTCTCTCTATGACTACACGTACCTGTATACGAGCCTCCCTACGACTACACGTACCTGTATACGAGTCTATCTATGACTACACGTACCTAGATACAAGTCTCTCTATGACTACACCTACCTAGATACAAGTCTCTCTATGACTACACGTACCTAGATACAAGTCTCTCTATGACTACACGTACCTGTATACGAGTCTATCTATGACTACACGTACCTAGATACAAGTCTCTCTATGACTACACGTACCTGTATACGAGCCTGCAGGGCAGTTGAGTTGGTCTCCTTATTGGACAGATCCTCTACCTGTTGGCGGAGTATTCCCAACTCCTGTGGATGAATGGAAATCTTGTAGGAGGCGAAGAAAGTAATATCCGTAATATTGTCACAGTTTACCAGTAGGGATTCTTTATTTTAGAACCATATTTAATTTTTGTTTTTACTTCTTTTTACTGAAGCGTAACTTTCAAAACAATTAGTGAGTCGTTAATGTGGCATACAAAATTGTGTTTTCACAAAAAAAGCTTCATTAAAGGACTTAGAATTATGTGTGGGACACAGTACATGATAGTTGTGGTCCGGGTTTTACAAAAGGAAGCACTGAATAAAATCAACCTCATTAAAATCAGATCTTACTTCTTGCTACTGCTAAACAAAGACTTCAGGACATCCCATTACAGGTCATGTCTGAACAACCTTTTGCAAACTTTGACTGACCAATTAATTGTCTAACATGAAGTTGACATAAGCTTTTTCAAGCTTCACAACACTATAGTTTCAAACTGGCGACTTCCATTCCAGACCAATCTTTGAACAATAGACTCAAAATTAGAATATAGAACGAAAAAAAATTCTGGAATGTCTAACAGATTGCCTAGGTTGTATGGCAGTACTTCCCATGGAATATGAAATGTCTCTTCCGTTTCAAATGTTTATCCCATTGAAGTGGGCGATAGACGATGTTTTTGACAGAATCGTTTGTACAGCCTGTAAGTGTCGTTTGTAATACCCTGTGTTAACCTTTTGAGGTTACATGATTAGAAAACACATTCCGACTGTCACTTTCACGATCTGGTAAGTGATGCTCTGATTAGTGAGATGAAAGGTCATTCTGCAGTGACATGTAATGGGATGTCCTCAGATCTTTGTTTGATGATAGCAAGACATTTTAACTAGACTGTGAATAATTCAATTCATTAAGTCTACGTACCTTGTCTTTAATAGAGTTGTCTCCCCTTAGTTGCTCGACCTGTGCCTGCACCTGCTGCACTTCCTCTTCCAACACTTCCGCCCGATCATCAGCACCGCCACCGCCTTTCTGGTCCATCTCCGCCACCTGTAACACAACAACATCATACAGCATCCTGCCTAGCCATGGACGTGTCTGTACACAATAGTAATCTGCCTATCCAAGGATGTGTCTGTACACAACAGCATCACACCAAGCCAAGGACGTGTCTGAACACAATAGCATCACACCAAGCCAAGGACGTGTCTGTACACAACAGCATCACACCAAGCCAAGGACGTGTCTGTACACAATAGCATCAAACAGCATCACATCTAGTCAAGGACGTGTCTGTACACAATAGCATCACACCAAGCCAAGGACGTGTCTGTACACAATAGCATCACACCAAGCCAAGGTCGTGTCTGTACACAATAGCATCAAACAGCATCACACCAAGCCAAGGACGTGTCTGTACACAATAGCATCACACCAAGCCAAGGACATGTCTGTACACAATAGCATCAAACAGCATCACATCCAGTCAAGGACGTGTCTGTACACAATAGCATCACACCAAGCCAAGGACGTGTCTGTACACAATAGCATCAAACAGCATCACACCAAGCCAAGGACGTGTCTGTACACAATAGCATCAAACAGCATCACACCAAGCCAAGGACGTGTCTGAACACAATAGCATCACACCAAGCCAAGGACGTGTCTGTACACAATAGCATCACACCAAGCCAAGGACGTGTCTGTACACAATAGCATCAAACAGCTCCACATCTAGTCAAGGACGTGTCTGTACACAATAGCATCACACCAAGCCAAGGTCGTGTCTGTACACAATAGCATAAACGGCATCACATCTAGTCAAGGACGTGTCTGTACACAATAGCATCACACCAAGCCAAGGACGTGTCTGTACACAATAGCATCACACCAAGCCAAGGACGTGTCTGTACACAATAGCATCAAACAGCATCACATCTAGTCAAGGACGTGTCTGTACACAATAGCATCACACCAAGCCAAGGACGTGTCTGTACACAATAGCATCACACCAAGCCAAGGACGTGTCTGTACACAATAGCATCAAACAGCATCACACCAAGCCAAGGACGTGTCTGTACACAATAGCATCAAACAGCATCACACCAAGCCAAGGACGTGTCTGAACACAATAGCATCACACCAAGCCAAGGACGTGTCTGTACACAATAGCATCACACCAAGCCAAGGACGTGTCTGTACACAATAGCATCAAACAGCATCACATCTAGTCAAGGACGTGTCTGTACACAATAGCATCACACCAAGCCAAGGTCGTGTCTGTACACAATAGCATCAAACAGCATCACATCTAGTCAAGGACGTGTCTGTACACAATAGCATCACACCAAGCCAAGGACGTGTCTGTACACAATAGCATCACACCAAGCCAAGGACGTGTCTGTACACAATAGCATCACACCAAGCCAAGGACGTGTCTGTACACAATAGCATCACACCAAGCCAAGGACGTGTTTGTACACAATAGCATCAAACAGCATCACATCTAGTCAAGGACGTGTCTGTACACAATATCATCACTATTCTTTCCTTGTTTAACATAGACACAAGTTGGCTTCAATATCTTGTTTGGGAGAGACCATGTAGCAATAAAAATCTTGGCATATGGTTCAAAACAAAAAAATATTGTTGAGGGTTTGATCACAAAATTGAATTGTAATTGTAAGAATGTCTCGTGTGTTTGTTGTTTACCGCTGCACTCAGCAATATTCCAGCTACATGACGGCGGTTGTCAGTATGTGGTTGACCTTAGCATCATGATGTAAGACTCAACATAGAGCATGCTGCTCCTGGTTTTAACACATACACTGTTCTTGTCAGGCCTAAGGGACAATACATGAACAAACAAACCACTGTATCAAATTGCATAAAACATAAAACATAATTATACAACCAATCTGACCCCTTCAACATCAATTTTAAACAAATATCAAAGGTATCAAAATTTTAAAAAATAAGTCTTAAGAACTACTTCTTACAAATGCAAGATGTTGTTGAATGTCCCAGAACTTACCATCATATCTGTGTGGCTGGGGCAGTGAGGGACAGGGTGAGATGTATGTGTGGTATGTGTGTTGTGTGTGGAAGTGTGACAGTGTGGCGGTGTGACAGTGTGAGAGAAGTAAACAAGCCATGTCCGAGGAGTGTGGTGTGTTGTCCCTGGGTCAACCCTTCAGAATATTGTCAACACACTCACTCTCCAAGAAGGGGAAGTAACCCTGTGGTGATTGTCAATTTTCAATATTTGGAAATACTAAATGTTTACAATTTTGTGGAAATATCAGATTTTGTTCCTTTGGACATTTTGGAGGTTTTTCCCAGCTTTGGATTGACTTACAACTAAACAAAAGGACCTGCTTTCCTAGGAATGCTACCACCTTTCCTGGGAATGCTAGAACCTAGCTACTGCAGCATGTTAACTCTGCCTGTATGTATTTTCAATGCTGTCTGTGATGCACAGTGCCCGATGTGACTGTTCCGTCATCAGTACAACTGGAGAACACAATCAGAGTAGTGTTTTAGTGCCCTGCACAATAACATACAGTGCAACTATCCGAACCTGATTTCTAGCAGATATTAAAACCATGGACTCTGACCATGATCTAAGGAAACTGAACCATTTTCTTAAAGATTTCAGGTTTGTGAAATGTTTTCCCAGGTTTCATCATGAGTGAGCGAGTGAATGAGTATGGCTACGCTGCTTTTAGCAATATTCCAGCAATATCACGGCGGGGGACACCAGAAATAGGCTTCACACACTGTACCCATGTCGGGAATCGAACCTGAGTCTTCGGCGTGATGAGCAAACGCTTTAACCACTAGGCTACCCGACTGCCCCGGTTTCATCAAGAGAGCATGTCTGTGTATACATGAATGTAAATGATTTGTAGACTGTACAGAGACAGCTTGTTAACACAAACCCTTTAGGACATCTGTAGTGTTGATGTTATACAATCTTGTCACCATCCATGTCAATGTTTTACACTTATTGCTTTATAAATACATTCAAAATAGTTAAGGGTGTAACTGCCTGTAGTTTTATTCAAATTCCTTCACCACCAACGATACGTCTTTTCTGAAATATCAATGACGTTTATAAGACTTGCATCTTGGTCTGTAATTAAGTAATTATCCTCGATCTGTCAAATACTGAGGGTCACTCTCAGAATGCCTGATTCTTTACGCTGGGATACACTGTGCTGAGTGTCGCATGTCAACATGGAGATGTCGTTGTGTTTGCATGTAGGAGATCTCACAGCTCACGATGACCAATCAATATCCAGTGATCAATATCCCACAATGCACCACTCCACACTACATTGGAGTTAATCCTGACGTAAAGGCGTAAAGTAGCTGTCGTTGTCAGGTATTATACTTTCATGTGACAGGTATGACGGAGTGGATGGCATGAGTACCTTGACAGGTCTTAGATAGATCAATAGGACAATAAGTACCTGTAGAAGTAAACCGTACTTGACCAGATTGGGCGCTTCTACATGGTAGCTTACTGTGAGTGAGTGAGTTAAGTGAGTTGTGTGAGTTGTGTTTCGTGACTTGTGTTTATTGATTGACTTGTGATTATTGATTGAGTTGTGTTTATTGACTTGTGTTTTAGAGTCAGGTTTAGTGAGTTAAGTGAGTGAGTCTTGTTTAGTGAGTGATTTGTGTTAATGAGTGCATTGTGTTTAGTGAGTTGTGTAAATGAGTGAATTGTGTGTTGTGAGTTGTGTTAATGAGGAAATTGTGTGTTGTGTTAATGAGTGAATTGTGTGTAGTGAGTTATGTTTATGAATGAATTGTGTTCGTTAGTTGTGTTAATGAGTGAATTGTGTTAATGAGTGAATTGTGTGTAGTGAGTTGTGTAAATGAGTGAATTGTGTGTTGTGAGTTGTGTTAATGAGTGAATTGTGTGTTGTGAGTTGTGTTAATGAGGAAATTGTGTGTTGTGTTCATGAGTGAATTGTGTGTAGTGAGTTATGTTTATGAATGAATTGTGTTCGTTAGTTGTGTTAATGAGTGAATTGTGTTAATGAGTGAATTGTGTGTAGTGAGTTGTGTAAATGAGTGAATTGTGTGTTGTGAGTTGTGTAAATGAGTGAATTGTGTGTTGTGAGTTGTGTTAATGAGTGAATTGTGTGTAGTGAGTTGTGTAAATGAGTGAATTGTGTGTTGTGAGTTGTGTTAATGAGTGAATTGTGTGTTGTGAGTTGTGTTAATGAGGAAATTGTGTGTTGTGTTAATGAGTGAATTGTGTGTAGTGAGTTATGTTTATGAATGAATTGTGTTCGTTAGTTGTGTTAATGAGTGAATTGTGTGTAATGAGTTGAGTTAATGAGTGCATTGTGTTTAGTGAGTTGTGTAAATGAGTGAATTGTGTGTTGTGAGTTGTGTTAATGAGTGAATTGTGTGTTGTGTTAATGAGTGAATTGTGTGTAGTGAGTTGTGTTTAGTGAGTGAGTTGTGTTTTGTGAGTACTTCAGACAGCTCAGAGCTTACTATGCAGGGATGCAGTTGTAGATATTGACACAGCGGTGAAACCCACTATATGGGTATGATGCTGCCAAGGATAACAATCACTGGGAAACAATTCATGGTAGACATCTGTCAATTTATTGGTCTTCATAAATGATGTATAAGCAAAGTGAAAACATGTCTTGCTTTCCATGAAACAAAATACACATGATTAGGGTATCTAATCATTGACATTTCATTTTGCAACAGTGTTTGTACGGCATTCCTGGAAGCTATCTACACTCAACAAGATCAGTCAGATGAGCAATGGCTGGTATTACAGACACAACACACAGGAGTCGGCCAGGAGTTACCTCCCTCTACATCTGTGAACACAAGACTGACAAGAACAAGCAAAGCCTGCCTGACCTGGTATGTTCGACAAGATTCTCAATAAATTAAGATGAAAGTGGAAGTGTTTTGATACTCCCACACTGCAGGAGGAAAATGGATGATATTTTTTGTCAGTGCTTTATTTTCTTAATACTTGATGAAATGATTTTATTCATTTTCAGAAGAGATCTTATACGAACATAAGATCTCTGTTTTCAGAACTAGGTGTAACATTTATAATTGTCTCCTCCAAGTTGGACTGCTCGTCTTGGTGACAACATGCTACTTGACAAGACACACAAAGTAGGTAGGGAGGGGTAGCTAAATCAAGATAGTTTTTTACATGCAAGGTGAGCAGGTTATTGATGCACACAATAACCTCAACTGTCACTGGAGGAGCTAACAAGAGGAAGTCACAGATACAATGTGATTTAAGGTACAAGAAAATGTTTAGAAACAGACTCTACTGTCAATCCATATTAGTTTACAGATGAAGGTGTCCACTGCCAAATGATTATTATTAATATTTTACACATATACATTATATGTGAATTATGTTGTAAGTAGGGCTGTCAAAAAAGATCGATAATCGGAATTATCATTGATGGAAAAAAATATTTACAATTATCAACATAAAATTTGTGTCATCAATAATACCTTACTTAAACTACTGTAGTGAAATAAAGTTTAGATTTTCCAAAGCAGGCTTGTTATTGTCAATAAGGTCAATTGTCTCTTACTCTCCATGCTAAATGCAGTTTGGTGTTGTTCTGGAAACTTGTCCAGACTTGCACTCGGAAGCGTTTAACCTAGTCTCCGAAATGACATGTGAACGTTCTAGGTGCATACACGTCACCAACTACTGCATGGTAGAAACATCATTAAATCTTTCTACCACTGCACAAATAGCTGATCATCTTCCCAGCTGATTGACAGGATGAACTGAAACAGGCCCTAGTGCTACATAGCTCACCTATCATGAATATTTAAATGTTTTGATATACACTTTGATATTGTAATCATAAATGTTAAAGCACAAATCTTGTTGCACCGGTAGTTTTAGGCCACACCCGAAATAGTTTTGTTTTGGAATGCGACTGGGCTTAGTGTATCTAGGAAAATTGATATTTGCAAAAAAAATCACAATCAATTTTCAGACAATACTTGCACTTTAAGGCCTCCAAGCATGCCCAGAATCTATTTTTTATTCTTTTTGGATTATGCCTTGAAAAATTATGTCCCTTTAGAAAATCTCCCACGCGGGGATGGATCAATTTATATGAAATTGGGAGGTTCCACGTACACTGCTATTCCAGTCAAAGGGAAATAACTCATACCTTCCTTCCAAAATTCCTTCCACAAGAAAAGAAATGTGGGACTGAGTGAGTGTTAGTTGTTACATAACTAGCGTGATAATGTGAAATATTATCAACAGCATTTCTACCTCTTGCCTTGTCAACCAATTGCAGCATTTCACACAGGTTTAAACTGTGAGTGAGTGAGAGAGCAAGTGAGCGAGTGAGGTTTTATGCAGGTTTCAGCATTTTAAAACAGACTGTGATGACGTACATGTATACTAGAGACTGAGTAACATTCCACACTGAAATGTGTGTGTCTGTCATGTACAAAGACACTGAGCCTGACTTTCCGATCCGTTAAGTCACCTCTTATGACCAGCATCGGTTGCTAGGGACCAATTCAAACTCAGAATCCCTATGGTACACACTCACATAAATGAACATACTACTGACTTACAGTGTGTATTCAAAGCCCATGATGTGATGGGCATCAACATCAGGATTTACATATTGTACCTATGTGGGCGTAGATCATAGGAAAGAGGAGAGAATGAAAAAATCATCAACTGCAGGGTGAGAAATTGGCACTGGCACTAGTCCTTGCCAAACTGCCCAATAGTTAAGGTATCATAAGGCCTAGTAGATATTTGCCATTTTTAGGGTGTTGCTATATATTATCATTATAAGGACTAGTGGACTAAAAATGTTAGTTTCTACCGCTGTCAAGCAGTCCCACCACCCTAGAAACTATGATAGACACACAAAAGTGTTTTCTGACACCAGTTCTAAAGTTAGTTTTTTTCACATCCCTTGATACAAATATGGTTAGGAGTGCAATATTTCTGTCAATATTGTTCCTGGCAACTGCATCAGTCCAAGGGAGGTAACTCACCTTCTTCTTCATGACGGAGTTGTCCTCCCTGTATGCTGCCAGCTGTTTCTGCCATTCCTCCACATTGGAGGTGCTCTCCTGCAGTGCTGCTGTCAGACGCGCGTTGTTGTTCTTCAGGGTCTGGAGCTCTACCTCCCACTTCTTAGCATTACTGGAACTGAAACAACGACACAGATAGTTCACAGCTACAGCCTGTACACAATCCATGCCAGATCAGGGCAGATCAGAGCTTGATAGCATAAGCATTGATCCATGAAGTCCAATTTCATTAAAATCAGATCTTAGTTCTCGCTGTCGCTAAACAAAGATCTGAGGACATCCCATTAAGGGTCACGTCAGAACGTCCTTTCATCAAACCAATCAGAGCGTCGCTTACCAGATCATGAAAGTGACAGTCGGAAGGTGTTTTCTAATCATGCAACCACGAAATATTTAACACAGAGTATTCAGAACGACAGTTACGTGTTTTATGATTATATCCATACAATCCAGAATATTCTTCTTATCACTTTTAATTTTTTTAATCGAGACTACGTCAAAATATGTTTCAAAGCGTAGTTGCCAGGTTGAAACTAGTGTCGTAAAGCTCGAAAAAGCTGCCTTCTGATTGGCTAATGTCTATTTCTTGTCAGTCATTTCATTGGTCGGTCAAAATTTTGCGAAAGGTCATTCTGACATGACCCGTAATGGGATCTCCTCGGATCTTTGTTTAGCGGTAGCGAAAACTTAGATGTGATTTTAATGAGATTGCATGAAGTCGGGTACAAGGACACGAAACCTGCCAGAGCACACAGCATTACCACCAGATCCTCACTTTCACTAAGCATCGGGTACTGGGGACCTCTTCTGCCCAACTGGGGTACAATGATGGAACTATTGATGTGAACACCAGATCCTCACTGCACAAAGGATTGAATATTTGGTCTGTTTTTCTTCATTATTTATTTGTTTATAAGTAAACGTCATCATTTCAGAGATATGTATGTGTACTTTGTCCACAGATATGAGAATGAAAAGTTCAAAAAAAGGAAGAAAAAAAGAGAGTTAAATATTATGCAAATTTTAGCAATCACCTAGCCATACCTGGGGACAAGATACTTCTCATATCATACCCATATGGGATTTGAACCTAGGTCAGCCGTGAGCAGCCACAGCTACCCCACTCGACTACCCAACACCTTTTATTACACTAGTCTCCAGATGCCTGAGACCCTCTCACCTTTGAGCAAGTGCAAGTTTGAGTCTGTCGTTTTCATACTTGAGCTGTGCCTCTGTGGCACTGGCTTGAGGAAGATTGTTGCTGCCCTGGGTGAACGAGTTCCGGCGCTCACGTAAGCTGCCCACATCACCCTGCTGCCAAATACACAACACATCCAATAACAACCTTGTCCTTTCTCAGAAAAGCTTATTTCCAAAGCTAAGAACATTCAGTATTCAATATAGAAACAACAACTCTTCATCAGAATATTCAGTGAAGGGTTTTTTGTCTACTCTGAATGTTTAACAGAAAATACAGCTATGACTACACTAATAATGGTTATATAAAACTAATAAATTTGTGCCTTATAAATTGTACCTATTGTTCAGATTAGAATAATTTCTTCTCGTACATTTAATGAATACCATTTATCAGAAAGGCATAACTGGAATTAATCATTAGATATTCATCAGACTTAGGTTACTGCTGTATGGCCATCTATTGATTAAAAGACACAAGGAAGGGAAGCAACTCTTTTAACCTTAGTTGAATTAACTATAGTAACATGGAACTGAGTTACAGTACTGTCTGTGCGTGATTAGGTCAACTGTCAAAATAGGTATCAATTTCCCAGACACCTGTTGCTGGACTAACAAATTTGTCTTTATTTAAGTAGAGAGACTCTTTTGTGTTTAATGACTTGGTCAGCAACAAATCAGGTCAATCTAACAGTCATCATGCCTTGACTATGTCAAAGTTGTAGTTATCAATCCATTTACCAAAGACGTGATCATGAATCCCAACAGGGTGACAAGCATGGGACACTGGGAACCTATTCTACACTGGAATCCCCCCACATGGAGACAAGCATGGGGTACTGGGGACCTATTCTACACTGGAATCCCCCCACATGGAGACAAGCATGGGACACTGGGAACCTATTCTACACTGGAATCCCCCCACATGGAGACAAGCATGGGATACTGGGGATGTATTCTACACTGGAATCAACAGGGAGACAAGCATGGGGTACTGAGGACCTATACTACACTGGAATCCCCTCACATGGAGACAAGCATGGGGTACTGGGGATGTATTCTATACTGGAATCAAGAGGGAGACAAGCATGGGGTACTGGGGACCTATACTACACTGGAATCCCCCCACATGGAGACAAGCATGGGATACTGGGGATGTATTCTACACTGGAATCAACAGGGAGACAAGCATGGGGTACTGAGGACCTATACTACACTGGAATCCCCCCACATGGAGACAAGCATGGGATACTGGGGATGTATTCTACACTGGAATCCACACAGGGAGGCAAGCATGGGATACTGGGAATGTATTCTACACTGAAATCCACACAGGGAGACAAGCATGGGATACTGGGGATGTATTCTACACTGGAATCCACACAGGGAGACAAGCATGGGGTACTGGGGACCTATACTACACTGGAATCCCCGCACATGGAGACAAGCATGGGATACTGGGGATGTATTCTACACTGGAATCCACACAGGGAGACAAGCATGGGCACTGGGGATGTATTCTACACTGAAATCCACACAGGGAGACAAGCATGGGATACTGGGGATGTATTCTACACTGGAATCCACACAGCGAGACAAGCATGGGCACTGGGGAGCTATTCTACACTGGAATTCCCATTGGGACAAATATGTGATGCTGGGGATCTATACTGTCCTGGATTCCCAAGAGAGAGAGTACCTTGGGATTCAGGGGCTGTGGTCTGTCTTAGGAATATGGTCAGTCTAGGTCCCCAGTACCCCATGCTTGTCACCCTGTGGGGGGGTCCTCAGAGGTATAGGTCCCCAGTTACCCATGCTTGTCACCCTGTGGGGAGTCCAGAGAGGTATAGGTCCCCAGTAACCCATGCTTGTCACCCTGTGGGGAGGATGGGGAAGTATAGGTCCCAAGTAACCCATGCTTGTCACCCTGTGGGGAGTCCAGAGAGGTATAGGTCCCCAGTAACCCATGCTTGTCACCCTGTGGGGAGTACGGGGAAGTATAGGTCCCCAGTAACCCATGCTTGTCACCCTGTGGGAAGTCCAGAGAGGTATAGGTCCCCAGTAAGCCATGCTTGTCACCCTGTGGGGAGTCCAGAGAGGTATAGGTCCCCAGTAACCCATGCTTGTCACCCTGTGGGGAGTCCAGAGAGGTATAGGTCCCCAGTAACCCATGCTTGTCACCCTGTGGGGAGTCCAGAGAGGTATAGGTCCCCAGTAACCCATGCTTGTCACCCTGTGGGGAGGACGGGGAAGTATAGGTCCCCAGTAACCCATGCTTGTCACCCTGTGGGGAGTACGGGGAAGTATAGGTCCCCAGTAACCAATGCTTGTCACCCTGTGGGAAGTCCAGAGAGGTATAGGTCCCCAGTAAGCCATGCTTGTCACCCTGTGGGGAGTACGGGGAAGTATAGGTCCCCAGTAACCAATGCTTGTCACCCTGTGGGAAGTCCAGAGAGGTATAGGTCCCCAGTAAGCCATGCTTGTCACCCTGTGGGGAGTCCAGAGAGGTATAGGTCCCCAGTAACCCATGCTTGTCTCCCTGTGGGAAGTACGGGGAAGTATAGGTCCCCAGTAACCCATGTTTGTCTCCCTGTGGAGTTTTGGAAGTCCAGGGAAGTATAGGTCCCCAGTAACCCATGTTTGTCTCCCTGTGGGGAGTACGGGGAAGTATAGGTCCCCAGTAACCCATGCTTGTCTCCCTGTGGGAAGTACGGGGATGTATAGGTCCCCAGTAACCCATGTTTGTCTCCCTGTGGGTAGTACGGGGAAGTATAGGTCCCCAGTAACCCATGCTTGTCTCCCTGTGGGGAGTACGGGGATGTATAGGTCCCCAGTAACCCATGCTTGTCTCCCTGTGGGGAGTACGGGGATGTATAGGTCCCCAGTAACCCATGCTTGTCTCCCTGTGGGGAGTACGGGGAAGTAACCCATGCTTGTCTCCCTGTGGGGGGTACGGGGATGTATAGGTCCCCAGTAACCCATGCTTGTCTCCCTGTGGGGAGTACGGGGATGTATAGGTCCCCAGTAACCCATGATTGTCTCCCTGTGGGGAGTACGGGGATGTATAGGTCCCCAGTAACCCATGCTTGTCTCCCTGTGGGGAGTACGGGGATGTATAGGTCCCCAGTAACCCATGCTTGTCTCCCTTTGGGGAGTAAGGGGAAGTATAGGTCCCCAATAACCCATGCTTGTCTCCCTGTGGGGAGTACGGGGAAGTATAGGTCCTCAGTAACCCATGCTTGTCTCCCTGTGGGGAGTACGGGGAAGTATAGGTCCCCAGTAACCCATGCTTGTCTCCCTGTGGGGAGTACGGGGAAGTATAGGTCCCCAATAACCAATGCTTGTCTCCCTGTGGGGAGTACGGGGAAGTATAGGTCCTCAGTAACCCATGCTTGTCTCCCTGTGGGAAGTACGGGGATGTATAGGTCCCCAGTAACCCATGTTTGCCTCCCTGTGGGTAGTACGGGGAAGTATAGGTCCCCAGTAACCCATGCTTGTCTCCCTGTGGGGAGTACGGGGATGTATAGGTCCCCAGTAACCCATGCTTGTCTCCCTGTGGGGAGTACGGGGAAGTATAGGTCCCCAGTAACCCATGCTTGTCTCCCTGTGGGGAGTACGGGGAAGTAACCCATGCTTGTCTCCCTGTGGGGAGTACGGGGATGTATAGGTCCCCAGTAACCCATGCTTGTCTCCCTGTGGGGAGTACGGGGATGTATAGGTCCCCAGTAACCCATGATTGTCTCCCTGTGGGGAGTACGGGGATGTATAGGTCCCCAGTAACCCATGCTTGTCTCCCTGTTGGGAGTACGGGGATGTATAGGTCCCCAGTAACCCATGCTTGTCTCCCTGTGGGGAGTAAGGGGAAGTATAGGTCCCCAATAACCCATGCTTGTCTCCCTGTGGGGAGTACGGGGAAGTATAGGTCCTCAGTAACCCATGCTTGTCTCCCTGTTGGGAGTGTGGGGAGTGTGGGGAGTACGGGGAAGTCTGGGGTCCTATTCTGCCCCTCCATGGGTCCCTCTAGGCTGACCACTGTATGACTGGGTCTCATACCGGTAATGAAGATAGGCTGTTGGTCCTCTGATGAAGGAACTGGCGGTGTTGGGACGGTTGTGGTGGGGAGGAGTTGTTGGCGTCGACGGTGCCGTTGATTTCACAGCCTCCTGACTGAAGTTGGTGCTGAACAGCACTTCTTGTCAGGTCCTTGATTTCTTTGAACTTCTCAATGAACTGAAAGACAGGCATAACAACTGAAGTGACCCTAGGACCATGTGTCAGTATAGTCAGGATAATATACTACACAACTTGACAGGGATAATCAGACTGAAGTGACCCAAGGACCATGTGTCAGTATAGTCAGGATAATATACTACACACCTTGACAGGCATAATAACTGAAGTGACCAAAGGACCATGTGTCAGTATAGTAGTCAGGATAATATACTACACACCTCTTGACAGGGATAATCAGACTGAAGTGACCAAAGGACCATGTGTCAGTATAGTCAGGATAATATACTACACAACTTGACAGGGATAATCAGACTGAAGTGACCCAAGGACCATGTATCAGTATAGTCAGGATAATATACTACACACCTTGACAGGGATAATCAGACTGAAGTGACCCTAGGACCATGTGTCAGTATAGTCAGGATAATATACTACACACCTTGACAGGGATAATCAGACTGAAGTGACCCTAGGACCATGTGTCAGTATAGTCAGCATTATATACTACACACCTTGACAGGGATAATCAGACTGAAGTGACCCAAGGACCATGTGTCAGTATAGTCAGGATAATATACTACACACCTTTTGACAGGGATAATCAGATATGTCATTCCATTTAAATATACACGATACATATTATGAGAGTTATTCTTAATTTTATGTTTCACAGACTTATTCCAACTTTTCCACACAAGGAAAGTGGAAATAAAAACAAAAATAAATAACTATGTCAATTAATCATTTATATAAAAGTCATTCTGCCGTGGTGTTAAACTGGCTTCTAGAATCACTGATAGTGATGTAGACAAAGAATTTAAATATACATAAATTCTTTATTGTGTTAGAGGGTCTATATTACTAGCGGGAGACATAATAAAGATAGATATTTATATGTTTAATTTATTTTGTGGACCAGCTGCTTTTCAGTAAGGGGGAGGGGAGAAGCCACAAGGACAGCCACAGTTCAAAAGCAGGCCTCGAAGTTTTTTACCAAGTAGCTATATGGCTACATATACTTTTTCCAGGTAGCCACTGGTAAAATCAAGAAGTCGAGCCAATATTGTAGGTAGCAAACAAAATTTGAAATTATCTTTTAAAGGCATTTTAATCAAATTCCTATCATAATATGTACAAGTCATCAATAGCTTTAGTCTTGGAATCGTATATTAGCCATGCATACTGAATTAGACATTCTTTGTTTAATTGTCTTTTCGCAGCAGCCAATTTTCATTTACTTTTGAATGTCACCAGCATGGACGTTTTTTTCCCCATGTCTTTGTTTGTGTCCATCAGCTCGGACAGCATCAACCATCACTGTTACTACTTCCAAAGTTACTGTCATCATCGTTTACACTCACAACTTTCAGTGCTATGATTGTTTTTTGTTGTGTGAAGATAGAAAAGTATTTTGCAGTAAAACAGAACGGTCTACGCATGTCAGAAGTTCAAACTCGATGCACTGCACACAGTAAAATTACTTAGCATAACAGAATTCTTGCAGTGCTTCATGGAGTTATTGGAATGTTCATTGACACAGACGGTGAGTGCAGTTATACAAGTTCCATAATGCAATTGGAAAAACTGGCAATTGAGAAAAACGGCGTGCAAATGTCATGTTATTTACTTCTGTCTACTAATGTGAAGCAATAAGATTCAGTTGCCACAAGATATTTTTTCAAGGTAGTCATTTGACGACCTCAGATTTTTTTGTAGTAAACAAACAGAAATTTACGTCGCATTGGCAACTATTTTAGTCGCAACTTTGAGGCCTGTAAAGCTATTTTTCAGATTTGGTTATGATACAAAAGATTGTAAAAATTTGGTAAAATATCCAGTTGCCATTTGTCTCTAGCAAAATCATTGTAATGGTTACAATTTTCTAAGAGAATGAAATGCACTTTAAGAATGGTTCCTGCAGCCTTAGGCTTCTGGTGGCGCAACTGCCGCCTGTAGCATATTTAGACGTGTTTCCCAAAATAAAAGTACACTCAGAGCTTCTAAGCATGCCTTGTACGACTAGTTTGCTTGGAAGAAGGGCATGTTTATTCACCATGTTAACTGAAAAAAAAAACTGTGGCCAAGATGCAAAACCAAATAGGGTGTTCTTCCTTCCACAGACTTGTTAAAGTAACACGGCTGCAAGTAATTACTCCTACAAGGGGACCTTCCTCAAGACTCGTTCAGTCATGGAGACATGCCGAGGGCAACGCCTCCCACTCAACAAAAGTATCCTATTATAAAGAAAGCGAAGGGCGACATTGAACTTGATGAGCGAGAGATTCATTCACAGTGTGTGGAGTTCTCATTACACTTCTAAATGTTTAATTAACTGAAAGAATTTAATGGAGAGATTAGGTTTATAGACAGAAGAATCTGCCAGTGGTGTTCAAATCTATTGTTTGCCCTGCTGAAAGTCCTTGCTTCCCCCCTAGGGACTTGCTGTTGGTGCCAAAGTGGTCATCTCAAAAATATAAAAAACACATATAATTTCTACAGAAGGATCTGCCAAATTTCCATAGTCACAAAGAACAGCTTTAGTGGTTGAAACTTGCTTCAGTTACCATAAAAAGAAACATGTCAGCATACTGATTTGGAATATTTATCTCAAATTGAAATAATTCATATCAGTAACTTGACACACATTCCCCTGACAGATGTATTTACTGTGGACATGGTGCAAATACTTTCACTCTTGTCCTAATGGCTAGCTATGTCCCCAATGTCGTGTGTAAACACACAGAGTGACCTCCCCTGTAAATACTCTCACTCTGTGAAGTCAAGAAGGTCCAGTGCTTCATTAACTCTTCAAACAACCAGCTTGACAGTTCAGGACTAAGACTGGCAACAGCACATCCCCAACAGAACAAGTTTCCTGAACAAACACCACTTACATTCAAAGACTACTGGTGGAAACAAATGGTCACTATCTGAAGCTAGCTTGCCGTTTGTAGTCAGGCCATTCAGACCACCTGTGTTTGGCCCAATGACGTGGGTTGGTGGGACAGTGGTTCAAGCATTTACTGATCATGCAAAATACCCAGGTTCAATTCCTGGTTTGGGTGTACAGGGGTGAGAACCTATTCTTGGTGTCCTCCATCACGTGATGTGAAACTCACCAAGTAAAATAAGACATACCGTATTTGACATAATAAGCGCCCAGGGCGCTCTCAAAATTAGAAATAGGGGGCTCTTATTAGAATATATATTTTTGAGTTCAAAAAGCGTATCTTTCGTGGTTTATGCTGAAATGTTTATAAACGACCGATATATTTTTCAAGAATTTAATTTCCCATAATTAAGGGTGCATATAACAAACGTATTATGCATGAATAAATAGTCTTGTGTACATTTATCAATCAGAAGGGGTGCTAATTGGGATTGTTCACTAGCCAGTATATTAGCAAATATCGTGGGCGCTTATTACGTCGAATACAGTACTTCATTTGGGTCCAGCAAGTGGTGGCATGTGGTCTTGTTAGGTATGTGACTTAGTTCGACTGCTCACATCTAGCTGTGAGTGAGTGAGTGAGTGAGTTTGGTTTTACGCCGCTTTTAGCAATATTCCAGCAATATCACGGCGGCAGTCACCAGAAATGGGCTTCACACATTGTACCCATGTCGGGATTCGAACCCGGGTCTTCGGCGTGACGAGTGAACGCTTTAACCACTAGGCTACTCGACCGCCCCACATCTAGCTGTGAATGGGTACATGGTCGGATGCAATGGTTACAGGCAGCTTGGGTTAAGGTGCATGGTCAAGGTTCACACAGGCTTGAAAAGGCCTTCAATTAAGGTCCCTTTTGAAAAGCCTTGATTTTCTGTGTCATCCTTGAAAAGTCTTGAACATCCAAAAAATAGCTTGAAAAGCCCAAAATGACTTATATATAATAGTATTATAATTCATGACAAAGTTAATCTATTTTAATTGTTGTTTGCGAAAATAATTCTTCCTGGAAAATTTGTGATGTTCATACCTCTTTTTAGGTTTTATGACTAATATATACATGTAGTATGTTAGAATTAAAAAATATTAACAGACTGAGGCTAATAACCAACCCAAAGAAGCCTTGAAAAGCCTTGAATTTTAGTGCTCCAGATCTGTATTAACCTTGCAAGGAGCTGATCCATTAATTATTATTAACTAATAAGCAACTAATTCTTATCATTCGCACAGTACAATAACAGAATATAGGTTTTAACAAGTGTTGGATATAAATGGTTAATCTGGCAATAACTGGTCACATATAAATCATGACCGATGAGTTAGATTAATAGTTTCACCACAACTGTCGACTACAATTGATCTTGAAAACATTGCAGAAGTTTCACAAACTCAAGAGCCACTGTTTGCTATACAGAGATTCTCCCTCAGAATTGACCACAAAAACAATGTGACTGGTCCTGTAATGCTCGGAGTTAGGACACCCCAGTGTCTGACAAATCAGGCTGTTAGAGCAGATGCAAATACAGTGACGACAAAAGTGCCTGTATCTTGCTATATTAGGATCAGTTCCAAAAATGACTTTCTATTTCTGTCTTGCACCATCAAGGGAAGTGGTTTTGACAATATATACTCCTCAGGAACAGAAGGTCCAAGTGCCAGGACTATTGTTTGTTTGGTGTGTAATGCATACAGCCATATGATGGCGGACTGTAAATAATCAAGTCTGGACCAGACAATTCAGTGATTCATATTGTGAACAACAATAGTGCCAAGGGCACTGTAGCTCCCCTGAATATGTAGTCAATAGTTTGAAAGACAGACTCCTAAAAAGGGAGCTGTCAGTATTACCTTAAAATCGTTTCTGTATAAATACTGAGGACTAAAAACTAACACTCAAATCTAATGTTTGGAACAAAACATGATGCATATGTTCAGGGGAGATGTTTACAGAGCCTTAGTATTTGAGAGAATTTAAGAGCATGGCTAAAATAAAGTCCAGCTTTAAAATATCCCAAAATATGGAACATATATGTTGAGCCGTACTACTAGCTACACATATTCCAACTTTCATTCCATTTTGAACAAAAATGACTGAATAATGATAATAGCTTTTTCAAAATGTGGCCATATTGAAAATCGAATTCGAGCATGTCTAAACTGAAAAGGTAAAATCAATGTCAAACTATAAAATATCTTGAAAAACGGAACATATGAACCCACTACTAACTACACATTATACCACATTTCATAAAAGTTTGAAGAGAAATGGACTTGTAAAGATACGGGTTAGAATAGGTCTTCAGCAACCCATGCTTGCCGTAAAAGGTGACAAGGCTTGTCGTAAGGAGCGACAAACAGGATCGGGTGGTCAGGCTCGCTGACTTGGTTGATGCATGTCATTGTATCCCAGTTGCCTGGATTGATGCTTATGATGTCAAACACCAGACAATCCAGACTTGATTATTTACAGACTGATGTCATATAGCTGGATAATTGCTGAGCGCTGCATTAAACAACAAACAAACAAATTGAAGAGAAATGGCTGAGTAATGACCAGAAGAAGTTTCAGCTTGCAGTGTGCAATTTAAAATTAAAAATAATGATAAAACTGGAACACATATGGTGAGCCTCACAACTAACTAACCAGATGAATTTCATTCCATTTTGAACAAAACATATGTGAAGTTGGACACCAGATGCCTGACAAACAGGCCATGCATGTCTTAAACTCACTTGACTTTCAGTCAGGTGAGCTAAAAATTAAAAAAGTCTTTTTTGGGGTGTATATCAAAAAAAGAAATCTTAAAAAATATCTTTTTTATGTTTTTTTCACACACAAAAAATCACACATAAAAACATGGTCCTATAGATACCCAAATAAAAAATGTACCTTGCCAAGATCGGCTTCTGTTGGAAAGCCCAAGCCATATACTGTATTTGCTCTTGCATCTGACCACTGGCCAAACTTCTGGGAGGTCTTGGTGAATGTCAAGTTGGGGGTGATGGTACTGTTGACAATAGCCTGGAACAACAACACAAGGCACACACTAAATACATGGGCTACACAAGCTTCCTGCACACGGGACACTACCCTCCAGCTTCAGGAGCTACTCCATCAAGTGTTATTCTAGGGGTAAATAAGAATTGACTTCATTATTTTGTGAAGGTATAAATGTATAAACGGGCGTAAAAACTGTGTATTGTGTATTGTGTGCGTAGCAGATTTATGCAAAGCGTGCAGGGACGTTCATAACATATAAAAACATTTAAGTCAAGATGCGACTGCTTATTTAATCATTAATATATGACAACTATGCGATAAATCGCACAGGACAACGCAGAATGAAGAATGATTGATGGCACGATTAAACATTGTTCTATCATGACTCATTTCTGGAGATTTGAACATTCACTTGCAACTTGATGATGTCGTAAAGGGGACAATGTTATTTGTGAGAGGGAAGTGTTGGTGAGTTGTTCCCAAAGATGTAGCTGGGCCACGTAGATTATAAACACAATGGCCGAACAATCAAACCCAAAAGTGGGACAGACATGACAATCGGTTTTGGGAGAAAAGGTACAGATAAACAACATGCAAATTGTGAAAATGTCCGGGAAATAACCAACTTAACACCCTGTTCATAAAATGGACTTTACCGAAATTGCCAAGGTCGGATTGTATTCAGGGAGTCATCATTATTTAAATACGGGTATATATTTTTAATGCTTGTACGTGTTTTAACATCCTTAAAGAGGATGTACATCAGTGAAGTGTTTTATTGTACGATAATCAACTTCCCCTTGTTGTTTATTTCTTAAACATAATGAAACTATAGACAATACAAAATCAGTAACATCATTCACAGCAATGATCCAACAAAAGCCCTCACCATTCTAGTATCAGCCAATCAGGAAACAGTAGTCCGTTATTTGGCTGGCCTAATTTTTCTTCAGTTTATGGAAACAAATGCAAAGGGATTTCCTTGGTTATCCAATCAAAACTGCCATGGAGTCATTTACAATTTATTTATTACAGGATATTTGCTTAATAACTGTTATGCTTTCCAAAATCAGTGACCATTCTAAAAATTTATACAAATTCTTAAATTGGGAACTAGTGAGTGAAGTAAACCATTGGTTGACATGACCTGTTATCCCACTGCTGGAGTAATGTATAACACCCCATCAGCCAGGTGAAACATTGTAACAAATTGAGCCTCATTGTATCAAACATGCAAGGAATACTGCATGATTTCAAATATAACCTGAATATTACAAAGATGTTCACGATTTTTGGAGTATGTAGAGGCAAACAATCCCTAGTCCAATGGCTGTCATAAAAGTTCATAGAAGTGAATATAACAAATGTTATATTTGTGATAACACTTTTTTAGTAAAGTACAGATTCTTGTACTTTTTTGTGATGAGTTCCGTCCGGGATTCGAACCCAACGAAGTGAATATTGATATGAAAAAACGGATGTTGACTATCAACTTACAACAAAGCTGTTTGCCTTGACATATGACTTGACACAAACAACCATGAATTGATTAAGTCAAATAACAACTAGAACCTTACTCATAAACATAGTTGTCATGGCAACCAAATTGAGTTTGTAATTACCTGAGTTTTCAATTCACACATTCAAGTGCGTCAAAAAAATGACAAAATAAGTGTGGCATGGCCTCCCAAGAGGGCCTGTCTTTAGTACAGGTGTCCTTGTAGAGGTTTCCATGCAGTTGTACACGTTTTGTTGCAATGAAGATAAATATGAAACAAACCATGATACTGGAAGGGTGATAACATACGACCTATTGAGTTTTTGAAGTAATTCCAGTTTCATCCTAAGGAGGGATGAGAATGGATATTTTCCTTTTCAACTTCTTTTCAATGGAGCATGCTCCATAATTTTGAGGGGTTTATGGTAGTTCATCAGAATTTAACAAAATTGAGGTCACTAAAATTCGCCGATCTGCCGAAGATTCCCATCCCTGCCTGAAGCAGACAGATTTTATATTTTTCGTGGTCTTCCAGATTTTGTTGAGAAAAATCCTTATAGGAAGGTTGGAAAATAAAATAAAAGATATTTTAGATGATTTGTTTTGTTCTGCAAAATCAATATTTGAATATAATACCATTTGTGCAGTGTGAGTCTTAAACAGATCAGACATCTATAGGCACATCGTAGAGTCGCAACTTATTGGGAATGGCATCATTCCTCAATGTGCTGGCTTCATGATCTGAGCTGTTTAACAGGAGAAGTCCGTACAGGGCAGGAAAAGGTGACAGGGTATTAAAAGGAGTGACTAGTTCCTGGAGCCATGACATCATTCCTCAATATTTGGTTTCGTAAACCGAGTTGTTTTACAGATGTAAAAAGAACATCATGATTAGATTAAGCTCAAATCTCAATCTAGGGTCAAAAAAGAAAATACACGAAGAAAAGAATCATATGCTATTATGCATATCACGTAATGAATGGTTATACAATGGAAATGAATAAATGCTACGTCGTTGAGGGAGGATTTGCGAACAACCGTAGTGCAGTTAGAACTTTTGTCCGAACGGGATGCCAACGAGGGAGCAGTCGAAGGAGCGACAACCATCGTAGACACATTAGCATCTGAGAGAGGGTGGCAAGGACCAGTCAGGTATCTGAGGTGACCGGCACTGTTGTAAGAGATGAAGACGCAGGCTGATCGGTAATCTCTTCAGTTAAAAAGCTGTCAGACACCCCATCATCGGCCATAGATAGTACAGGTATTTAGGCGGCTATGGGGACAGCAGTAGACACGTACGGTGGCAGAGGAAGGCTTGTAGATCGATGAGTGACAACTGACCACATTTTCGGATTCTTCACATCTTGAGACTTGTTGTCCCAGTCACGGGATTTTGAGTGGCATGATGACATTTGTGGAGAGATATGGAAAATGGAAAATGCAGCCTCTAGAAGGTGCTTGCTATCCACACAGCGTGATTCAAGGCAGCACCATCTGTGACAATCACAACACTGTCCATGTGGGTCCGAGGTCCAATAGGTACGTCGACATTGTTAACAAGCAGGACACAGATTATCTGTCGCTTTTTCCTTCATCTTTCCCATTCCCCTTAGCGTGGTATAAGAACGGCTGCTAATGATCAAGCACATTACCATGGCGTGGCGATGAGATAGAATGAGTGAGTGAGTGAGTGAGTATGGTTTTACGCCGCTTTTAGCAATATTCAAGCAATATCACGGCGGCAGTCACCAGAAATGGGCTTCACACATGGTACCCATGTCGGGAATCGAACCCGGGTCTTCGGCGTGACGAGTGAACGCTTTAACCACTAGGCTACCCGACCGCCCCACATCTAGCTGTGAATGGGTACATGGTTGGATGCAATGGTTACAGGCAGCTTGGGTTAAGGTGCATGGTCAAGGTTCACACAGGCTTGAAAAGGCCTTCAATTAAGGTCCCTTTTGAAAAGCCTTGATTTTCTGTGTCATCCTTGAAAAGTCTTGAACATCCCCAAAATAGCTTGAAAAGCCCCAAATGACTAATATATAATAGTATTATAATTCATGACAAAGTTAATCTATTTTAATTGAGAAAGAATGAAGTGACAGACAAAGGAGGCACGTGATCAGGTTGTGTAGGTCGCTATGCACGGAATTACGTGTGTGACCCATTTGTTTGGGAGGTGACCATATTGATGATGGGGTGTGTTCGGGTGGATTGATTTTTAGAAGCTGGAAACTGTTCAAGCACGTTTCCACATAGGATCAAAGAGGAAAGAAGAAATGCATAGTGTGAGATAGGATAAGTTTAAAAATATGCTGTTTTAGATTTTTCTTTCAATTTCGGTTCGGATGAAACAGTCCCCTTTAGTTTGGTAAAGAAAACACTGTGGGTCAGGAAACCACGGCCTTGTGAATTTCTTCCCCTTACATGTGCACGTGCTCAACGAAACCCTCGCAGTCATGTTTTCTTCATATGAATTGATGTGTACGTATTCAGGAATACAATTATTGGATGAATTGATTATGTTGGAATTTAATAATGGTATTAGATGCTCACAGACAAAATGAAATGCATATGTATTATTATGATGAGTTTGGATAGGGTTTTCTCATTTTGTTTCCGATGACACAACATATCACATAGCAATTTAAGGGAATATCCTATGCAGACTTCAATGAATAAATTTGAATAAATGGCCTCTGCTCTAGATGGTTCTGAGATGAGATGAGTGAGACTAATTTGACAACATGTCAACGTACCGTGTACACTGGGATGGGTATTGGCCTGCCTTTCGCATTGCAATTTATGAGATGCCAACGATTCATGTATTGAATTGGTTTCAGATGCTGCTGTTAAAGTCAAATATTCAATGATACATGAATTCAGTTATGGGTGTCACTGACAGGAAATTGTAGTACATGCATACATAAATAGATTCAAAAACTATCATGATATATCAATAAAATAAAATTAATTATTATGTATGTATATACATAAAAATACCTATGTGGCCTGGCAATTAATCAATTAACATGCAATATATGAACTCGGCTGATCTATTAAATGTTAATAGTTGAATTATTGCCTTCACATTATTCAATCTTACCATGATATTTAAAACAAATGTAAACCTGTCCGGGGCGATGAATTATTAATTTAGTACTTATAATCTTAAATTTGTATCGATACAGCATCGGCATAAAAAATTAACAAATTCATCAATATCGCAATACACGATGACATCCCTAAATTCAGTGTTTGAATTTAAGCATGGAACTCACAGGGTCATTAACTTAAAATTACAGATTTAGTGGCCCCATTCTACAGCATAAAATCTCAAGGATCCAAGACATTTACAAACAGTGTTAATTGTGAAAGGAAGTTTTTCAATAATATTTTTCTGTGACACCATGTCATGTGGCTGATGCAATAAAAATAACACGAAGGCTTATTTTCAAGGTTCCAACTTAAGATACTACTATAGCGGTAGTGGATATACATATAAATACTGTGTAGATCCTGCCCAGTCCGAGACAAGAGGTGCCACTCCCGGAGGTGCGAGGCTACTGGTAGACCCGGTTCTCGCCATCACTGAGGGCCCAGATATACTCAGGTTGGAAAACAACACAGGATTAGCACAGGTTTTGTTCACCAGACTAAAGTTTGTATAATGGCTTATGATCAGGCCTTGGACTTTGGTGGTGTAATCTGGGTAATACCTGAATTACCTATTCTCCCTGCAGGTGATCGAGCATACATTAGGGAGGGGGCAGTAGGAGGGAGGCTGGAGATCATGAGTCTGTCTCGCAGTCCCTGGTGAACCATAATTTTATTTTCCCTTCTGCCATGCCCTTACTATAATCACATATGTGACCCATCAGGTTAAAAGGGACCTTACTGGTGCTAGGATACAAATGTGATGTGACATCAGAAAAACGCTTCATGTCAACTTACTTCAGTGAAGATTGCCATGTGTGTGGACTGTACAAATATGTCTAATTTCTCTCTCGTTAGTTTGTAGTGAGTGAGTGAGTGAATGAGTTGGGTTTAACGCCAATTTTAACAGTATTCCAGTTATACCACTTATTGTGGGAGGAAAGCCTGAAGTGATGCAGGTCTCAGACGTTTACCACTTCGGTGAAACCCACGAGCACGGGTATGGTGCTGACAAACCTAGAATCATAATCGGGGCGAACCAGGATTCGAACCCACAATCTTAAGTTTCTGGCGTGCCCAAGGGATGCAACTCTGCATAGCGAATCGTGGCGCCTTAGACGACTGGGCCACCCGTGGCCCCCGTTAGTTTGAAATGTAATAAAAACATTATTTCAAAACCATTCAGCATATATGTCCAAAAACTGCAATTATAACACAAACAGTTGGAAATTGAGCCCAAATGTTTGATGGCATGTATCTCTGTAATAAATATGAAATTGAATGAATTGTATTTTGGTGTGCCGAAGATACTGTAGTTTAAAATATTATGACAAGTCAAAATGTATTGTTTTCACCCATAAGGTCCCTTAAGGGTAGATGACAGAAGATACATCAAGAATATTATGAAATTACAAACTTTATTGCATATTCAAATTGTAAAATTTTATGCAAGTTCTCATGTCTCCTGGTCTTCTATACATGTATCATTTACAAACCCTGTATAAACTATGATATATGATCTGTCCAAGCTACGAACATGCCCATAATGTAATTTTGTTATTATTTTTTAATTTGATCTTTGGCTGGCCTAAATGGAATAACTATATCTGGCTATACAATTATGCAAAATGTAAAAACTATCCATGCACACTCTACGTATGGCATTGAAATGTATAATATGATGGGAAATGTAATAAAGAAAAACGGGGAAAAAAAGAGTGAAAAAAAGAGAAAAAGATACATCAAGGAGGGGGCAAAATAAAAGTACATGTACCTTGAAAAAACCTGCTGATACATCATGCTTGTCCTATAGCTCAGTTTGAGTCCTACCTTTGTGCCTTCCACACTGATGATCCTGTAGGTGTCTCTTGCCGAGTCATAGTAGTATGCAACGCTCACCGCTGTCTTGCTAGCCGGAATCCAATTTTTCTTAGTTTCGGGGTCAATTTGGAACACATGTGCCTTTGTTGCAAATATAGGCTGTTCCCTGAAAAAAAGATGACATCACCATCAATGGTGGGTACACACACTGACACAGCTCTTTTCTTTCAGAAAGAAACAACTTTTTCTCATAAATTACATTTCTTAAACAGATGTTGGTAATACATGATAGATTATCATCAGATAACATGGTCTGCAGGGTAGCCTAGTGGTTAGAGCGTTTGCTCGTCATGCCAAAGACTGATTCAACTCCCCTAACAATCACAATCAGATATCAAGATAAGCTTTTGGTTATTTAGGTACTTTAGGGTGGGGTTTGGTTTTGATCGGGTATCCACAAGTTTTAGAGGGTATTCAAATTTGTTTTATCCACCTGTTTCTTGACATCGGGTATTTTAACCTATTCGGTGACAATCCCTCTAAATCATTTAACATTACATGAATAGCAGTATACTATGGGTGAAACTATACACTGATATTCCGATGCATCGCGATACTTGACCCACGATACAATATACAATAAACCTGGGCCCGTTTATCGATACGCCACGATACGAAACGCCAATCTCAAGTACAGCGTTTCCTCGCTATTGTGCCTTTCAATAAACCGTGAACTTGGTTATAGCGTGTGGTAACGCATGGCTCCCAAAAACGTACTTACATTTTTAAGGTTTTACACTGACAAATGTTTTTCCCCATCTCAATAAACATTATCAGCTGATCACCGCAAGCACATAACACCGGAAATACCAGTCAGCAAAAAAGAACTGAAGTATGCAATTCAATACCATCATTATGCTATCTTGTTATTAAAACGTGTTCATTGTATATATGGACATGTGTTTGTAATATATTTTATTAATTTTATTTAAAATTTCATTTAATTTTGTTTTCATTAAGTTAGGTGAAATCATGTGTGAAGAGATACAGCAACCATGGTCAGATTACCGCTTTTGATGATTGAAACGAACTAAAGAATGGATATATATATTAAAATGCCATACTTTGACTCGTTAAAAGTCATATTTGTGGCAATTTGGCTAATATATGTTAGCATAACATTTTCGCAATCTAAATACCTGTCGTGCGGGAAGTCCCTACGGTGACTGGTCAAATTGTTCCATACATAAAAATATCCTGCAACAGCAATCACCAGTACCAAAATGCTACGCTTGTGGTTTTTATAATTTTAAATACATATATAGTAAAAGCTGCAACTACAGTAACACGATATTGGAATATATTATTCCTGATAAAACAATAATTTCAGATACATTATCTCGACCATTGCATAAAAATTCTTTGAAGTTGTATCACTGGTGAAGTACATTAATTATTTTCTGGTGATTGAACTTTGAATTGTTTTGAAGGAAAGTTAGAGAAAGTTCCACTTTGAAGCTTAACAACTTCAGTAGTCTTGTTATTATAAAATAATTTTGACTGTTCCAAAATCATGAAAGGTTTAATCTTGACATGCTTTAAGTCTTGTTTTTGTATCATTGCGTATCGAGACACGTATCGTATCGTGACCAGAATATCGAGATGCGTATAGTATCGTGACCTTCCTGTATCGTTGCAGCCCTACAGTATACCCTTCTGTGTCTGCTTGCACCCCTGTTTCTGAGAAGCCATTACTGTTGGTAAAACCTAGAATTGTAAGGTGCTATTTTTTAAATCACCAATCAGCGACTTTTTAAGATACACTGACGAGGCACAATGTGCTTTTCAATTGGCATCTATCGGTCTGATCCTACACAAGATGGTGCTGAGACACCCACTCACATCACCAGCAATGCTGTAACTAGATATGACAAAGTAAACATTGGGAAATCAGTCTGTCAAAAAAAAAAGTTCCAGTCAACCGCCTCTCAAACACATACCTGGGTCTCTTCATCCTAAACAGTTTCAAATATATTTGAACAAAATCACACCAACATAGCTGTCCCCTAGTAAGTAAAGGACAGTCCACCAATGTCCAGTCCCTATGAGTGACCTTCACAAATGCTAGCATACATACACTCCAAGCAATCCAGGTGCACAGGGAATGTCCACCCTTAAACCCCTACCGTGACCCCCATCCCCCCTGACTCTGCCCCTCCCGACAGGAATGTAGAAAGGTGGGAGGTGACTGTAGGGTCACGGGTGAGTGGTCACTGATCAAACACACACAAGGCCACACAAGGCCCCTTGTTTAATCAAGACTTGCACATGAAATTGAGTAGGTAGCAAAAGGATTAGGAGTTATAATCAATGTATACTTGTAGGCCTAAGGCTACTCACTGTGTACTGGCTGGCTGCAGCATTGACACATTCATAGTAATGGCTAGTCAGACATAGGGACATCACAACAGATTATGATTCCTGTCCAAATTGTATGTCAAGGATGATAGGTTCTTACCGACCAGTTTAATAAGCAAAATGACTGAAGGTTTTTGTACGTCATGGATACACATATAGTATGTCACAGCAAATGGTAATATGCAGGTATTGTCAAGTCCTGACACTGTCAGAGAGTACTACACACAAATGAGTAAAGTATTACAGTTAACTTGGAGTCATAGAAATCCTACCCAAACTAGATTACACTTTAATAAAGTGAGTGAGTGAATATGGTTTTACGCCGCTTTTAGCAATATTCCAGAAATATCACGGCGGGGGACACCAGAAATGGGCTTCACACATTGTACACTTTAATAAAAAATAGATTATACCTTAATAAATAGTTAATGAATCCATCAATCCTATCGAAATGAGGTGAGGTGAATGGGGTTAATATCACGTCCAAGATTATGTGCATGCACGTGTGTGTGTGTACGAGTGTGTGTGTGTGTGTGTGTGTACGAGTGTGTGTGTACGAGTGTGTGTGTGTGTGTGTGTACGAGTGTGTGTACGAGTGTGTGTGTATGTACGAGTGTGTGTGTGTGTATGTACGTGTGTGTGTGTGTGTTTGTGCGTGTGCGTGTGTCTGCTTGTGCTTAATTTATACTAATAGTGCTAGCCCACTGAGATACCATGCCTCAGTTTAACATGAATACCCCACTCAGACACAGTATACTAACTCCGAGCCGACCAGTCCTTGTTTTAGCCCCTTAATGCCGAGCGCAAAGCAGTATAACAATAAGTACCAACTTTTAACGTCTTTTGGTACAACACGACTGGGGAAAGAATCCCCAACCTTCCGCTCTCCGGGCAGACTCTCTACCACTAGACCATGGAGGCAGTCTCCTAACAAAATGTAAAAAGAAAAAGAAGAAAAGACACTAATTTTGTGTCCCACCAAATACAAACTTGTACAAAAAGACCCCATGTCTTCCATTTTTAATTTATACAAGTGAAAAGATAAGCAGGTAAAACCTGGTTAAAAAAAACTTGTTCATGTTGGCTTCCATCAGCCACAGGTACCTTGTGTTAACAGAAGTAAGGATTGATGGGGTTATTTCTTCGTTTCAGAATATTTGTGATAAATCCTGGTCCATGGCTGGCAAGGAAAATAGGATAAAATAGAAATATGAGATTTTTTACCTCTGCTGATAAGATATCTGAATGCGTTGCCATGACTGAAGTGTTTGTCAAATTGGTCTCAGTGGACATTGAAAAAAAGTGGTTATGTATCCGCTGACCAAAAAAGAAAAAAAAAAGAAAAAAAAAAGAAAAAGAGAAAATAAAATAAAGGAATTTAGAAACCAATATTTCTTTATTTCCTCAACGGCAAACTTTCGTGTTAATCACATCATATTTCGCATTAAATATGATAAACTGTAATATAAACATGACCAGCTTTTTAAACACAAATATGTTAACATATTCAGATAACCTACATGTTTGAATCAAGGCCACGTTCCACAAAGCAATCATAGCGACTGTCGTGAGTCAATGATAAAGTATGGGAGCTACAATTGCTATAGTGCTTAGATCACTGTGTGTCATGGGACCCTGGGCACAAGGAAGTTAATATGTCTTCAGCAGGAAAATCAAGTCTCCCTTTAGAAGTAAAGTACAACCATATTTCATCTATTTCTGGTTTCAGTTAATTCTCAGTCTACGAACCAAAACATTGATCTCTTCACAGGCCTCTGATCAGTAGTTGCCAAAGTAATTTACAATCTTATAAAATTCTGATTACTGGTTTACGATAGTAAAATAGGGCAAACAAAATTCTGTCAACATAACACACATTTCTAAGTGTTGAGTTACAACACTTGACATAGCCCAGCTGCACTCAGGCGTGACACATTGTTCCCTGTGCTCACGTACAATGAACAGCAGATATTGCCTCTCATTACAGGTGAACAGAACACATGGACACTGTCATTGGAGACACAGAACTTAAGAGTTGCATGTCCAGAGGACATTCAAGCCGAATCAATATTCCATTCCATACACTTGTTACTCTGTCTACCCAGTATCATTCCGGGCATGTATGACTGCTTTAAGTTAGTTCACAGATTCAGAGTTCAGAAGTGCTTGCAGCTTGAGTTTTGATATTTGAATGAGTTGGCATTAATGATGCTTTGAACAAGTTTTTCAATCATCACTACACTTAACAGCTTAATGTTGGATCTAATCCACAAATATCGCATGTGACACTCTGACGAAACCCACAAGCACATGTATGGTGCTGACTACAAATCTTAATCCTGGTAGCCATCCCACAACAGCAGATCCTGGTATGACCAAGGGACGCATCTCTTTACATTTCATATTTGAGAGAACTGAGAAGTTACAATGTTGACAGCATTTAAAAGTAAATAGAGCACTACATGCACTATCAACTGATTACAATATAACAGAAGTTATTTCATTATTTTGTTCTAGCCTGTAATACTACACTTTCTGGAAAACAATACACATGTCAAGACAATACACATGTCAAGACAATACATGTATGACACATGAGCTGGTGAGGTGAAACAGGCAGGCAAGGTAACAACAAGTACTATCTCAGCGTTAGAAATTGGCACTGGTCCTATAGTCCTTGCCAAACTGCCCAATGGTTAAGGTATCATAAGGACTAGTAGAAATTTGCCATTTTTAAGGGTTTTGCTA